GCTATATTACGCCCCTTTCTCTAACTTTAAGTCTGTGCTTTCTCTCCCACCCCTTGTGCATAATACCCATTTAACACATTTATTTTAATTCCAGCACCGAGGTCCCTCTGTTCTGGATTGATTTCTTCCTTCAGTGACGTCACTCCAATGGAGGATCTAATGCCCAACAAATGCGGGGCGCGCATTAGAGCTTCCCCGTAGGAAAGCGTTAAATCAGTGCTTTTCTATGAGGATTTTGAAGACGCTGGATGTCCACATACAAAGTGTAAAGACATCCAATGTAATTTCATGGAATTAAACTCCTTGAGAAGCCAGGAAGCGCCTTTAGTGGCTGTCTGGAAGACAACCACTAGAGGTTGTCTTAACCCTGCAATTCAGTTTCTCTGAAACTGCAGTGGTTTCACTTGCAGGGTTAAGAGGACAGGGGAACTTCAACAGACCACTTTAATGACATGAAGTGGTCTGGGTGGCTATAGTATCTGTTTAAGCAAATAAGTATGAGGGTTTAGTCACGCCATTTGCCACTGTCACTTTCAAAGTACCGCAAAATCATTTGGTCCCTCATGAATTATAACATAGACGTTAAACATGCTAAGTACTTGCTATTTTTATTTTGTTTGTTTTTCTGTCTGCAGTTTCCTAATTGTGTATTTTACCTTTTACATCCTGCAGAGAGCTGATCTCTGTGCCAAATCTCAGCCTACTTGGCTGAGATCATCAGTCTTGATGATCTCAGCCAATCCAGTGCTTTCTCGTAAGAAAGCATTGGGAAGCTAGTGCGCATGTGCTGCACCAGTCAAATGGTCTCTATAAAAACCATCTGATTAAAAAAGTTGAGTTTTACTTGGCTGTTTCAGAAGAAGAGCCTCAAGTGGCTGTCAGTGTGGCATTTAAATCTGCAGAACAGGAATGTTTTTGCTTGTAAAGTCAAAACGACTGGGACATGGCACCCAGACCACTTCAATAAGATGAAGTGATCAGGGTGCCTATAGTGTCCCTCTAGCAGCCACAATTTTACTTTGCTTACATATACCATGATGTTTGTTAATAATATATAATTAAAAAAATAAGAATATAGATATGAACTATTGATGTAGAACCAATTACTATTATTATTTTTTTTTACAGAGCAAGAATTTGGTTGCAAAACTAAAATCATCCAAGCAGATTTCACAAGAGGATCAGAGATGTATCAGTCAATTGAGGATGGCCTCAAAGGGATGGAGATAGGAATTCTAGGTAATGTATGTTTGCAATTATCTTAATGGGACCTCTAAGGTAGAGTTTATCAGGACGGGATGATGCTGTGCTGTGATTATATGTAATTTTCATGATACCTGCTAACTACAGTTAATCAGGATAGGAGTGTACCAGCTTTACATTTAATTTCCTCCTACCCTCTGATTGCAAGTTATACAAACAAGCTTGGACAGTGTAACAGGACATAATGTGGTGTTTATTCCTTACTGTGGAATAAACAGGATCAGACAGTGTAAATTTTATATTTTTCATTCAGTAACATATATAATAAAGTGCCGCTCAAAGCATCTGAAAGACTTTAGCTTAATGAAGTGGTTTTGGTGTATAGAGCAGACCCTGCAATCTAACTGCTTAATTCCCAGACATTTAATAGTTAAATTGCATTGTTTACGCAGCCACACTTCCTGAATAAAGTAGTCAGCTTCCCTTATTGCACAGTGTGTTTCATTTAGAATTTCTTATCTTCTGCTCTGTTAATTGCCTGCTGTAGCCTGCAGCATCCTATGCTGTGTGATTAAAGTTCTATAAGGAGCATGATCTCCACACAATACAGCTTCATTCAGCTAAAGTAGTTTTATTGCTTAGAGTGTCCCTTTGAAATTCCATGTTATGATATATTGTGCTAATGTCTGACCTGAGCTTATTCTCCTTCACAGTGAACAATGTAGGTATGTCCGTGTCTAATCCTCCTAAACGATTTCTGGATATACCTAATATTAACAAGGTTAGTTCTCATCCATTTACATTTTTATTGAGATTTTTGCACTACGTAAATGCAGTTGGGATCACCAAGCTAAAGTGAAAATTACTGAACTGCAATAAAATTTGCAATTCTTAATTATGAAGGGAAAATCTGGTTGAAATATATATATATATATATATATATATATATATATATATATATTAGCAAAATAAGCATATCTCATTTAGTAGTATTTGTAGTCTACTTTAAAATCAGTAATTCTCAAACACAAATTCTATATGGAATATAGAATTCACATATTCAATCAGACTTGTGTTTGTGATATCACTGGATTATAGTTCATATAGAGAACAGGTTATTATTACATTAAAATACATACTTTGGCACAATGATAGGCCCTCATTAGAGGAATTTAAAAAAAAAATTTTTAACAAGGAAATAATATTACACAACACCGAGTGTATTTACACATAGCAAGGAAAGAGAGAAAAATATACAAAACAAAAACAATTATTATCTAAACCTACAACTCAAACTATAACGTAACATATTATTATATATATTATTGATTCATTTTACATTAAAATGTGATTAAAAAAATAAATAGATTAAATAACTGCCTAATGCTAAAAATCTAAACAATGCCATGTTCATCTCTACTAGGCTACGACGGACATGATTAACTGTAACATACTGTCAGTATTGCAGGTAAGTGCCAATCCACACCTCTACTAATCACTCCAAACACAAACCTGGAAGTAGTGATGTAGGTGAGACATGCCACTGATATATATTGTGGTGCAGCTCAAAGGGTTGGCGAGTAAACCACATTTAAATGTCTATATGTATAGGATTATGTAATATGTACGCATTTATTATTGCTTATATTAATTATTATTATTATTATAATTGCATGAAGTCTTGCAGAAAAAATAACTTGTGTTTCTAACATCATCTTCCTTTCAGATGACTCGAATCATCCTCCCACAGATGGTAGTAAGGTAAAGATTTTGTTATTTATCTAATAGTAAGATAGCACAAAGAATTGAAAGCCTAGCACATAAAGATTATCTTCAAAGAATTATCCAAGGACACGTTGAGCAATACACTATATGGACAAAACACACCTCGTAATTATTGAATTCAGGTGTTCAATCAGATCCATTTCCCCAAGATTCTAAAATATAGCATTTAGACATACAGTCTGCAATTACAAACATTTTGGGGAAAAATGGATCATTCTGAAGAGCTTAGTGAATTCAAATGTGGTAAAAAAAAAAAAGTGGAAGAGTTTAGGAACAGCAGCAACTCAGCCACGAAGTCGAAGTTCACGTAAAGTCACAGATCGTGGTCACAGAGTGCTGAGGTGAATGGTGCGTATATGTCACAAACGCACTCCTGATTCCATAGCTGAAGAGTTCCAAACTTCCACTGGCATTAATATCAGCACAGAAACTGAGCAGCGGGAGCTTCGTGGAATGGGCCGTGCAGCTGCATGCAAGCCTCACATTACTAAGTACAATGTCATGAGTCCAATGGAGTTGTGTAAAGCACGATACCACTGGACTCTGCGCAGTGAAGAATCATGCTTCTCTGTTTGGCACTCTGATGGGAGTGTTTGGATTTTGCTGATGCCAGGAGAAAATTACCTGCCTGACTGCAATGTACCAACTGTAAAGTTTGGTGGAGGAGGAATAATGGTATGAAGTTGTTTTTCAGCGGTTGGGATAGCCCTCTTACTTCCATGAAGGGAAATCTTTATGCTTTAGCATACCAAGACATTTTGGACAATGCTATGCTTCCAACTTTGTGGTAACAGTTTGGGGAAGGTCCTTTAAAATTACAGCAATACTGTGCCGCAGTGCAAAAAGCAAGGTCCATAAAGACATGGTTGGATGAGTTTGGTGTGAAAGAACTTGACCGGCCTACAGAAAGCACTGACCTAAACCACATGGAACACCTTTGGAATGAACTGGAATGGAGATTGCGAGCCAGGCCTCCTTGTCCAACATAAGTGCCTGACTTCACAAATGCTCTACTGGATACATGGGCACAAATTCCCCACAGAAACACTAACAAAATCTTGAGGAAAGCCATCACAGAAGAGTGCAAGCTCTTATATCTGCAAAGGGAGGACCAACTACATGTTAATGTTTATGTATTTAGAATGCAACGTCATAAAAGTCACTGTTGGTGTAATGGTCAGGTGTCTCAGTACATGTGTCTATACATTTTTAGGGAATTCCTGACAAATAATTTCAGTGCATAAAGTTTAATATGCATTTCAACAAATGTTGGCTATGCCTGCAAAACATCTGCTCCCTTCCATTAACAATTTTTATTACAATTATCTTTTTTTACGTTTGGCAATTGTTCTATTTAAATATCATTTCCACATGTTGGGCTGGCAATATGATTGATTTCTTTAGTGTATATTCGTAACGTGGTAGCGCATTAAAACTAAACAATTTCATACCAACATATGAAAGTATTGCATATATTTAAAATGGAATTTGTCCAAATTTAGGTAAAAGAATTTCCATACGCTGATATGTTGTAATAATTCAGAGCAACTAGTCTGGCCTTGGGCAACCAAACCTTTATAAAGGTTTATTTATTAACCCCGAACGCTCATTTGTACTGTAAGAGAATATAGAACAGCTTATAGTAATCACACCACCGACATAACAAAGGAGAAAGTGGAATCAGAATCCAAAGTGTAAAGTGAGCTTATTTTATTTGGTCTGATTCAGCTCTCTGTTTTTTGTTTTTTTATCACCCAGAAACAAAGGATTGATTATAAACCTTTCATCAGAAGCGGGTAATCGTCCTCTTGCAATGTCATTCATTTATAGTGCTTCTAAGGTAAGAAGGAGACCGTGGGCATCAAGCAATGATAAAATATAAAGTTTTTATATATTGTTCAGTATTATATTTTGTACTAATTGGAAGTTCGTTTGTAGTTGGTGCACGAGGCTTGGATTATGTATATAATACACATTATCCCTATACGGTGTATAAGCAGTATTATTATTATTATTGCCATTTATATAGCGCCAACAGATTCCGTAGCGCTTTACAATATATACTAATAGTTCTCATTTGCATTTTCTTTAATAGGCCTTTGTGGATTTCTTTTCAAGAGGTCTCCACACAGAATACCAGTCAAAAGGAATCACTGTTCAGGTATGGAGCAAGGCAAATAGCAAAAAGCAGGCCATATTATTTTGCAAAAAGTGTCTGCTACCAGATTTGCTCGCGTAAATTCAGCTGAAATTTGGTGTTCGATAAATATGCAAATCCTATATGCGTATTAATTCTTTTGAAATAACTGAAATTCAAACAGAGTTATCATTAGTAAATTTGAAAATTGCAAATTTAGTTGAAATTCAGTGATTTTTAAAAATTTAATATTGAGTAATATGTCACCTAAAGGATTTTGAGATTAGTTTGGAAATTAGACAGAGGCAAATTTCATATAGAGAGGGCCCTGGTGCTAGAAAGTATTGGGGGATGGCTCTAGAACAAAGGTGGCCAAAAGGTAAATCCACAATGCATGGATCTGCCATTTGCCCATCCTTGCAGGGCTGTATCTGTGAGCAGTGTCGGTATGTTGGAACGTAAGCATTATTTATTGATTTATAAAATATTTTACCAGGAAAGACACATTGAAATTTCTCTCGTTTTCAGGTTTTGTATGGACTATGTGTGAATGTAGGGGTGTATTTGGGGGATAGTATTGCAGTTGTCTGTTTGTATTTATTGTTGCTACTTGTATGCCGGGGTGTGTGTGTTGCCATTTGAATGTAGATGTGTGCTTGTATGTAGTGTATTTGAATGTAGGAGTGTGCTTGTATGTAGTGTTGGTGTTTGAATATAAGGGGCATTTGAATATAAGGGTGTATTTGTGTGTATTGTTGACATTTGAATTCAAGGGTGTTTATGTGCATAGTATGGGTGTTTGAATGTGAAGAGGTATATACAGATACACTGCCACACGTCATGATTTACATAATTTTAGCCACCTACCTGTTTGCCTAAGTTTTGGGTGCAGGAGCATTGATTGGCTGAGGTCTAATGGGATCTGGCTACAGCACAAGCTATTTTAGGCAGCTAGGAGTCTCGGGCTGGTCCAGGCTCTCCCATTTCTTCTCTCTCTCCTCCTCTCTGTTCCTGTGCGACTCTCTAGAAGCTGGGAGGAAGAAACCTGAACCCATTTCTCTCAGCACAACAACCTTAGTACCAATATGACACTGGCCCAGTCACACTAGACCAGGCCACTGATCAGACATGCCTATCAGTGGCCCTAAGTGTGAGGGCCACTCGATGCCCCCCATTGGTTGTATCACCACTGCTATTAGAACAGGTTGGTAGACTTGGTTATAGATGGAGTAGCAAATAGATATATGTTCATGTTCTCCAACTCCTAAATCCTGTTCTTTTCTTCCAGTGTGTGATGCCGTTATTTGTCTCAACACCAATGACTTCTCGTATGAAAACAAATATCTTTGTAAAGTCTGCTGATGACTTTGCCCGGGAGGCTCTAAACACTGTGGGTTACACAAACAGAACCAGCGGCTGTCTCTCTCACTCCCTTCAGGTATATATTTTGGCAATCGTCTAGCAACTCACCATTAAGGCTATTGCTATTCATCTTCACATGTTCTATCATAGGGAGATTTTGGCACGGTGTCTCATCTGGAGCAATTTCCTATACAATAGAACGTTTACTTTGAGAAATGAACGACATGTAGTTATGTTTTGTATAGGCAGAGTTTAGTGGGGAGAAACAGTTGTATAGTTGGAAACGAGAGATACACTAGTGGCAAAATCCAGGAAAAAAATCAGGTAAGCTTTATCACATGTTGTACTGGACACCAAATGAATTTATTAGGTGGCCAATATAGGGCGGTGTAAAATTAGAACAGAAAGGAGCCAAGGATAGAACCAACTGAAGACAGACAACAAGGTGAATGTTATGAAGAGTAATATTATGATGTAGCTGTTCCTCTATGCCAGAAGCAGCAGAAATGGTAAAATAGTTTATATACAGTAGTGATTGTATTTATGTGATCTTTGTGTGTAATATGCCCTATTGGGCATTATGGATAAGGTACCTGCGCTCTGTTTGTAGAATGACCTGTAATCTGCAATCCAGAGCTGGGCAAAGCTACCGGAGCTGACTTCCACCACACATTCTCACATCAGAGGGGAGTGGTGCAGTGCAATCACATGCTACTGTACTGCTAGAAAAGACTGTGATTGGACCCATGCTGATTCAGAGCGCAAGCGAGTGCCACGGAACGGCAAAGTGATGGAGTGGTGGTAGAGGAGAGATGGAGTGTTTTAAAAAAACCTAAATGCTGCCTGCAATGGAGGGAGGTGGGAGGTAGCACCCGCTGGGTGAGAGGGGATTGCTATCTCAAACTTGCATGGTGCACCTTGCCTACACAGAGAAGATTTTTTTCATCTGTTGCCAGGGTGCAGTGCGTGATGTTGAGACATAATCTATGCACAAATTTACATTAGACAGCCTGAAACATTTTTTTTTAAAATAAAATATATATATATATTTTTTAATTTATACTGTCCTATTGAGCACTACGAAGCATGTCCACCGTCGATTTTTAGCCACCTGTAAAAAAAAAAAAAAATTTACTTTTTTAGAGTTTCCACACCCTATACGACATCACAAGGTATCACTTATTTTCCCCTCCGTAGTCTAATCAAATGCACAAAGAGAATGAATAGAGGGATGGAGGGGGATCTAGGCTTCCCTTTGCAGGCAAACTCCCTGCCTGCAAGGGCAGAATCTCAGTGTACACTGATGACAAAGGAAAATGTTGCACAGAGGCAGCATGGATCAGAGTATTAGGCAGCCTGGAACAGAGTCCCTAAGTCATGTATGCTGGGGGTGTAACAAGCCACCAGTACAAAAGTGCAAATATCAAGCTGAAACACTGCACAAACAAATCCTACCACCCTGGCCACTTCCGAAAGAAGAAGAGGTGGTTGGAGTAAACGTTTAACTATGACAACTTCAAGATTACATTTATTTGCCAGTTTACTATTAACCCTTTAAAATTGTTGATGCAATTGCATTATCCTTTTTAAACTCCAATGAACAAAGGAGAAAAAAAACCTATGCCTCAGTGTATGTAATGTCAGTAGCCTACCAGAAATGGGCATTTTACAGGTGTACAAATTACCTCTCAGCATTCCACGCAGTAGAAGGTATTTTAAGCTCCTTCTGTGCAGAATGCCTTTGACACACAGAATAACAGGATTGTTAAAAAAAAAAAAAAATGGTTTAAGATTATAAATGGAAGTCGTTGGCTTAATTTTCTGCCCGGTTAGCTAAAAACATTGCCATTATTAACTTTACAGTGAAACACTTTATCAGGTAATGGCCACAATTCATTTATTTTTAATCTATTTCATAGAGCTATGCCTTGGAATTACTACTCCCTGATCCCGTGTTTAAGGCTTTTTTGTCAATGAAAATTGTGACAGATTACTTTGAGCATCTAATGAACCCGGACAAGAAGAAGAAGCAAAAATGAACAATCAATGTGACTATAACACAAGAAATAATTATTGATGAAAAGAAATAAAATAAAAAATAAAAAACATTCATTTTTGATACTTTATATTATAGTGTGTTTTATTTATACGCTCAAAATATATCTCATATATCCTGAAAAATCGACCTGAAGTTTAATATATACAATGCTACCATATCCTGCAACTCTATACAATGTACAAATAATAAGTAAGTAAATGACATTTGTAATCTACTACAAGCATTTGGGTTATTAGTACTTAAACAATTGCATCATTTTTTACTCCATTTTGCTAGCAAAACATATGGTTCAACAAAACAGGTACTTAAAGGACCACTATAGTGCCAGGAAAACAAACTCGTTTTCCTAGCACTATAGTGTTAATAGGTCTCCCCACCCTCATGGCCACTCTCCTGCTGGGCTTAAGTGGGAGGAGGGGGTTAAATTCTTACCTTTCTCCAGCGCCGGGCTCCCTCGGTGCTGGGGACTCTCCTCCTTCTGATGTCATCGGCTGAATGCGCATGCGCAGCAAGAGCCACGCACGAATTCAGTCGGTCCATAGGAAAGCATTTCTCAATGCTTTCCTATGGACGCTGGCGTCTTCTCACTGTGAAAATCACGGTGAGAAGCACGGAAGCGCCTCTAGCGGCTGTCAATGAGACAGCCACTAGAGGCTGGATTAACCCATGTGTAAACATAGCAGTTTCTCTGAAACTGCTATGTTTACAGGAGGCAGGGTTAACCCTATATGGACCTGGCACCCAGACCACTTCATTGAGCTGAAGTGGTCTGGGTGCCTATAGTGGTCCTTTAATGTCAATCCACGTTACTCAAATTGAGTGCAGGAAATCTTCACGAAGACTCTATGTGGATTATATAAATTTTTCACAAAAAGAAAACAAAACACTACTGGAAGTATCAACCTCTTAAAGTCAAAGCTTCAGTTTGCTTGTTTTTTACTTTTCGCAATCTCCGTCTTTCTCATTTATTGCACCAACATATATACCATTTTTTTTAAAGGATAAAAAGGCATGTATCTGATGTGACATATACATGCATAAATTCTAAATTTATACTAATGAAAAAAAGAAAAAAAGAAAAACCAAAAGAAGTAAAACCTATTTTTTCCACATTATTGCAATATGTACATAATTAATGCAGTTTAAGAATGAAATAATTCAAAATAAATTCATTTATTTGTCCTGATTTACAGAGTACATCATATATCTAGGATTTTTTTTTTTTTTTGCAGTGCATATATTGAATACAATCTGGCTTGAGGTACCCCAACAGCAATCCTCGAGCTACATAACATAGGTAACAGGTAGGGTAGTAGCTAGGCAATGCACAATTTTTACAGTATAAGTACAGGATAAGTATCAGCTTTATAGTAACATGCGTTGTGGTGGGGTTTGTCACATCTATCGTGTCTTGTCAGGGGAAACCACTAGGTGAACAATCTTAAGTACCTTACTGGGATTATATGTAAGTAACCATGCTGTAGAGAGCAAAGTGAGAGGTGTATCTGGAGCCCGCACGGAGAATGTGACGTGATGTCCTATGGAATGCCCTATTGTGTTACACATGTGGAGTGTGCTAGCTTATGTTATAGGTGGAGGAACGGCCATGTCTTTCCACATGGCATACAGTCATGCCCTTGTGTACTATCAGGCGATCAGCCAGTAGTTTGCCTTAGGAGGTACCAAGGCTGTCTAGCACCTATAGCGGGGAGCCATATGGTTCTAGTATAATACAGAACCATCTGAGTTATGATCCCATGTGTTTAGTACGTATTGAGTACCCCTTGGTCTGTATTGCTTGGGTGGTAAAGAGGGCCCTTTTGGAACTATGAGGTAAGGGTTTGCCTTTGTCGCTGCAGGCCATGTAGTGTATGTAGACTGTGCAGTGCAGTTTAGGTCCGTCTGGGTGCTAAGTAAGCATGCTTCACGTCTTAAGCGGACTTTTGGTTCAGGTAATGCTAAGTCATATTACTTGTATGGTAGGGACCCATAGGATCAGGCTAAGCTATGCAGCGAGGGTTAATGGCATGGTATGCTCAGGGTGTTGGAACAAGGTGAGGGGACATTTGAACTGCGCATCAACTTATAAAATAAATTAAATGAATATAATAAATTAAATGCAAAGGAACGGTTGTAGCTCTGAGCGTTCAGCTAATTAAGTCCTGCACTGTGAACAGGCTGTTAGCCGGAGCCGGGGAAGCTGCAAACCTTCATCCGATGCATCTGATGTGTTTAAATGGGTAGTCCGTTTTATAACCCAGGATGGTGTCTCCTTTCGCCCTCTTGCTGGTCTGTGCAAAGTACCGGTCCTCAGTCGAGTCTGGCACGATCAGATGAGACGTGGTTTGACCGGAGCTCTTCTTTGTGCTTGGTCCATGAGGGTAGGTGTCTGTGCAGATGCGGCGTGTGGTAGGGCTCCTGCTGCTGCGGGTCCGGTGACCGCTGGGTGTCGATTGCCTTCCTGTCTCCTGTTTAGGGAGGTAGTTGTGTCTGTTGTTTGGTGCGGAGACCGGAGCACGCTGCCTGGCGGGGACCGTGATAACCCCCACTGGTCCACAAGGGGGCGGGGGCGTGTGTGTGTGTGTTTTGCTTGCGTGGTGCGTTTATCATCTGGCGGGAAGGCGGCCGTCCTTCCCCCATGCCTCCGCTAGGCCTCATGCTGCTGTTGGGTGTCATGTATAGTACCGGCAGGTTTGTGGCTGCTTCCTCTTTTCAATGAGTCAAGTTGTGGGTAAATTACAGCATTTAATCTCGAGTTGTCGATTTTGGACCCTCACTGCAGGAGCACGTGTAATGTGCGTCTAGTCAGTTTGCCAGTTCGTCTCAGCCCTCCATATCTAGGATTTTTTTTATCTTTGGTAGTTACAGATCACAAAATTCAAGGAGTAAAACATGGTTTCAACGTGGAAGGATTTTAGAATCTGGTATGAATCTGGTAAGTTTAACAGCCATCACAGAAAATAAAATTGCCACAATGAGTATATATTTATATAGAGTAAACATCATAGGGTATTTTGACACTTTAAATGTAGCCATTTAACTGCCAATCTCTGCTGTGTATATATATATATATAAATATATATATATATATTATTTATTTTTTTTAACACATATAACACTGTGTATTTGGTAATCTACTGTGCTATTCCTGTACAAAAAAAAAAACCTTTTTACATAGTTACATAGTTGTTTAGGTTGAAAAAAAGACTAAAGTCCATCAAGTTCAACCCTGAAGCCAATTCTTTTGGGCAAAAAAAAAATGTAGAAAGTTCCAATTACACCCTGTTCCAAATTATTATGCAAATTCTATTTAAGTGTCACAAAGATCAAATATTTTGTTTTTCAGTTTAACTCATGGATGGTATTGTGTCTCAGGGCTCTTTTGATCACTGAAAACAATCTCTGACACCTGTGATAATTAGATTGCCAGGTGAGCCCAATTTAAGGAAAAACTACTAAAGGAGGGTGTTCCACATTATTAAGCAGAGCACCAATTTCATGCAATATGGGGAAGAAAAAGGATCTCTGTGCTGCCGAAAAGAGTGAAATAGTTCAATGCCTTGGACGAGGTATGAAAACATGAGATATTTCACGAAAACTTAAGCGTGATCATCGCACTATTAAGAGATTTGTGGCTGATACAGAGACGGGTTACTGGTAAAAAAAGAAAAATTGCATGAATATATATTTGCACACACATTACATTTGTCCTGGGCATGTTGAAAATGTGTTATATGACATTATGATTAAACCTCCCAAATTATGCTCAGCAAAAAAAAATCCCTCCCCCGCCCCCCATTGTATGCCTTTGCCACGATCTTGGGAAGTTACAGTGGAATATAAGAGAACAAACTATTTCAGTTTTTACAGCTTAGATATATTTGATATATGAATTTGAGTGACCTATTCCACATTTTGGGGTATTGCAGCAGTGTGACAGTTTAAATTATCTCATGGATGCATACCATTTGCGAAAGTAGACACTACGGGGTATATCATATGGTATATTTTGAGCCTTATTGTACAGCTATTTTAGCACCAGTTTATTTCAAAGTTTATGGCATTATTTTGTGTTCACATGTTTTTACAATCACATAAGCAAAACCCTGATGCTAAACCAAATCCTAGGCACAACTCTTATCCCTAATCTTAAACCTCACTAAAATCCTAACCCTAATCCTACACCTAATTTAAACCTCAATCTTAACCCTTGCAATAGAATTATAAAGATTCAGCAGAGGAATCCCTTGATGGCCCTAATCCTAAACCAAACCCTAATCTTAAAACTAATGCTAAACCTAATTTCTTAAAGGACCACTATAGTGCCAGGAAAACATACTCGTTTTCCTGGCACTATAGTGCCCTGAGGGTGCCCCCAACCTCAGGGTCCCACTCCTGCCGGGCTGGATGGGGAGGAAAGGGTTAAATCTTACCTTTTTTTCCAGCGCCGGGCGGGGAGCTCTCCTCCTCCTCTCCGGCTGAATACGCACGCGCGGCAGGAGCTGCGAGCGCATTCAGCCTGTCTCATAGGAAAGCATTCATAATGCTTTCCTATGGACGCTGGCGTCTTCTCACTGTGATTTTCACAGTGAGAAGCATGCAAACGCCTCTAGCGGCTGTCATTGAGACAGCCAATAGAGGCTTTAGAGGCTGGATTAACCCTATTATAAACATAGCAGTGTCTCTGAAACTATGTTTATAAAAAAAAGGGTTAATCCTAGAGGGACCTGGCACCCAGACCACTTCATTAATCTGAAGTGGTCTGGGTGCCTAGAGTGGTCCTTTAAGCCTAATGAATTGCATGAATATATATTTGCACACACATTACATTTGTCCTGGGCATGTTGAAAATGTGTTATATGACATTATGATTAAACCTCCCAAATTATGCTCAGCAAAAAAAAATCCCTCCCCCGCCCCCCATTGTATGCCTTTGCCACGATCTTGGGAAGTTACAGTGGAATATAAGAGAACAAACTATTTCAGTTTTTACAGCTTAGATATATTTGATATATGAATTTGAGTGACCTATTCCACATTTTGGGGTATTGCAGCAGTGTGACAGTTTAAATTATCTCATGGATGCATACCATTTGCGAAAGTAGACACTACGGGGTATATCATATGGTATATTTTGAGCCTTATTGTACAGCTATTTTAGCACCAGTTTATTTCAAAGTTTATGGCATTATTTTGTGTTCACATGTTTTTACAATCACATAAGCAAAACCCTGATGCTAAACCAAATCCTAGGCACAACTCTTATCCCTAATCTTAAACCTCACTAAAATCCTAACCCTAATCCTACACCTAATTTAAACCTCAATCTTAACCCTTGCAATAGAATTATAAAGATTCAGCAGAGGAATCCCTTGATGGCCCTAATCCTAAACCAAACCCTAATCTTAAAACTAATGCTAAACCTAATTTCTTAAAGGACCACTATAGTGCCAGGAAAACATACTCGTTTTCCTGGCACTATAGTGCCCTGAGGGTGCCCCCAACCTCAGGGTCCCACTCCTGCCGGGCTGGATGGGGAGGAAAGGGTTAAATCTTACCTTTTTTTCCAGCGCCGGGCGGGGAGCTCTCCTCCTCCTCTCCGGCTGAATACGCACGCGCGGCAGGAGCTGCGAGCGCATTCAGCCTGTCTCATAGGAAAGCATTCATAATGCTTTCCTATGGACGCTGGCGTCTTCTCACTGTGATTTTCACAGTGAGAAGCATGCAAACGCCTCTAGCGGCTGTCATTGAGACAGCCAATAGAGGCTTTAGAGGCTGGATTAACCCTATTATAAACATAGCAGTGTCTCTGAAACTATGTTTATAAAAAAAAGGGTTAATCCTAGAGGGACCTGGCACCCAGACCACTTCATTAATCTGAAGTGGTCTGGGTGCCTAGAGTGGTCCTTTAAGCCTAATCTGAAGGGTTTCCCATGCTAATATCTGTACTACTAAAAACAGTAAAAATTGGTATGTTCCCGACATCTACTGAATGTTTCAAGCATGGCAGGGATATATATTCCTATTGTACCGAAAATGCATTACCATAACACTGTGATAGGCGCTGGGCAATTTGCAAAGCCCAGCACCAATCAAAATGGCAATAGACCATGAAGGGAGACCCTGCGGTTCTCCATCAAGCAATCTGCACACATAAATCACCATGGCTGATGTGATGTGTGCAATAAATACTGACAACTGATACCCTGGTCTCCTTGGTGCGAGCACTTATTTAACCATGCTCACAAACACATTAAAGCAATGAGGATTTAAAACCCCAATTAAATGTCTGTATGCAGTGCTCACTTTGAGTGAGGCAAACAGAGCATCGGGTAGTTAGTCTTCCCTTAGATGAAGGACAATCATGATGGAATAAATTAGGCATTGGTCCTTACTACGTTAAGAGTTTTACAAGCTCCAGAAATGTAGCTTTAGAGTGTTGGAGCACAGCCAATGATCTTGACCTTAACCTCTGTAGCACCCTGGATTTTCTCCAATTTGTCCAACTGGTATCAAAATGAAAAGAACAGTTTACAATTAAACCTTTGTTTAAAATAGTTTCTTTAATAAGCATTACAGTTATATTGCGTATAGGTCTTGACAACACAGAAGAATAGATACACCGAAAACATCTTTGTGTCAACATAGAACCCTGTATCTTCAAACAGAAGAATTCTTAATCTGTTACTCCAACCAATTTACAGTATTTTAGTAAAATACTCAGGGATATTTACTAAGTGGAAGTATAGCTATTTAGGTCTTGACTTTAAAATTCACATTGAATTCTGGACAGTGCTCACTTTAGTAAAAACTCTCTTGGCTAGAGTAACATTTATTGACATGGTCAAACTAAAATGCCCAAGAACAATGATCAATAGAAACCCGTGCTTGAAGTCAACCCCATATTGTTAATTATTGTTCTTCTGCAGCTACACTCCATGGCTTTGTTATTTCAGAAGGTAGCTCTTAATCAGTTGCTCTATAAAATGTGAAAATGAAATTAAGTAGAAGTTAAGTTTTTGTAAATTTACATAGTGCTTCTTGTTTGTAGTTTTTATTCTATTCCCCTGAGAATAAAACTAGTTTCTAACAAAGAGCTTCAAATGTCTCGTTCTTCAAAGTCTGCACATTGCCTGGGATACTTTGGAGTTGCTCTTCTTTCCCAAAGCTCTGCAGATATAAGCTCCTGCTTCTGTCAATTTCTTCAGGTCAACACCCTAAATAAACATGATTAAACAAATGTATGAGACATAACAAAACACTGAATTATAAAGTAAAGACTATAATACAAAAATATTGTAGCAAGCGACATACTGTGTGAATACCAAGTCCATGAAGCATATAAACAACATCTTCTGTGGCCACGTTCCCAGAAGCTCCTTGGGCATACGGACATCCTCCAAGACCCGCTATAGAGGAATCCACCACTTGCACACCCATCTGGAGCAGAGAAGTTAACACGTCATCACACACACGTAAAGAATAATAAAGTCATGGCAAGCTCAAGCTAAACATGTAGATATAAAAGATGTCTAAGCAGTCTGTCAAAAGGAATGAATATAAATAGAACTTAACATGGCTATCAATTCACAGGAAAAAGGAAGATTCTATTTTCTCATATTTTGTTGATACCTAGATGTAGTAAGTTTTTTTTCTTTGTTCAGATGTTTTCTGTAATGCTTTATTAGTCCAGTGATGCAGATGTAAAATAACAGAGAACATTTGCGTCTTGTAATACCTTTTTTATTGGACTAACAGAATTTTGACAAGCTTTATGTGTGTATAGATTTATAAAAACTCAGCATACTAGAATAAAGAAATATCTAGAGATACCACCCTACAACATGCAGCAAGGTTGTCCAAACATACAGCTTGTAAGTACCAAAAGGCGATGATGTGACCCTACTGCTTTTGGTAAACATTATCCTTCCTAATCCAAAGAGTATGGGGCAAAATAGGACTAACAACCATTTTTTGCTAAATAAAAAAATAATAGATAAGATTCCACACACTGTAAGGATTTAAAGCAAGTTTGTTAGTCATCTCTTTTTTTTTATTTATGCAAATAAGTGTACTATGCCACTTTGTGTATTGTACCAAAGCCAGTGAGTAATAACCAAAAAAAATAAAAACATCAGTCAATATTGTTGGTTATAAGAGAGCAAAAACAAATCTCCTTATCACAATATCAGAAAAATATCCTAATAACAGTATGAAAGTTTACTACAGATAATGCTATTAATTCAACAAAAATACTGTTGTAATGTTCCACAACATCGAAGAGTAATTGAGCAAAATCACTGTTCCTAGTGTCAATCAACACTGTTATTATTGAAGCTAAAACAATCATTTGGATTGTAATTGTACATTGGATCGGATATCAAAGGTGGATTGTGCCATTCATTTCCTACTGTAAAATAAAATTATATTTGCAATATTATGGAAGGTTACCTGCAGAGCCACTAAGATGTTTGCTAACGCCTGACCATAAGTGTCATGGCAGTGAACAGCAATAGCATGAGCTGGAATCACATCAAGTACGGCGCACAGCATGTCCCGCATGCTGCCCGGAGTCCCCACTCCGATTGTGTCACCCAGGGAGATCTCATAGCAGCCCATGGAAAACATCTTGTGTGCCACCTGTGTGCAAAGAGCATATCTCATAACACAGACTACTTACAATGTGTGTGTTGGTGGTAGGATACAAATAGCTAAACACACGCATAAGTTGGTAGCAACTGACTGATTAGGGAAGAATCATCTATAACCCTAAGCTCTTTTGAACAGGGCCCTCATCAACCTACTGTTCCTGTAACATTTTGTACCAGTTTCATTCATTGTTAAGTTTCCCCCTTTATAATATTATACAGCGGTGTGTAATAAGTTGGTGCTAAATAAATGCCAATAATTCTAATAATCACCATGATAAATAGTTCAATGAATAGCATGCGCTCAATGAAGCAAGAATGGTATTCCATTTAAGCTATAGGTGGTGACTCATGCATAATTAAGGTCAGTGAATAATGCATGTGAAAGTATGTAAGTGTTGTAAGAGCCACACAAAGAGAAGCATTGAGTCCAACAAAGAAAACTGTATCAGGCTACAAAAAGAAAAAAATGAGAATTTTTTCTCACCCCATTAAATTAGGACAGTGACTGCTAACATCTGGCACTACAGCTCCTTAAATTAAAGTTGACAAAACATGTAGTGCCAAATGTAATGCATCTCTAATGCAAGCTTTGCCATTAATGGGATTATGGATTGCAGTAGACACATTGTAACACATTTGTAGAAAATGAAAATTGATAAAATATTAGAATGGTAAGACTTTTAATTATGTTGAGGTTTAAAATTGAATACATATTAGCATACTAACCTCAGCCACTTTACTGGGATGTACTTTCCCTTCATACGGACACCCAAGAACACAGGAAACATATCTATAATAGCACATAAACGTAAATGTTACATGTAATGGTTCGAGTTTAGAGAACAATAAACAAAAAGTAGAGAGTGGATTTAAGAATATATAATGAGGAGAATAAATTACAAGATAAAGCAGCTTAATTTATTCAAGAGATAGAGCAAGAAAACAAGCACAATTAAAGTGTTTTGCAGACCCATGACCAGGAGCCCACACAACCTGTAATATTGGGCTTACCCTACATTTAAGATCTTTGCAGATTATAATATGTATGTTTTTGCATTGTTTGATGCCTCTGCTATCCACTTATTATATTTATTATTACAGATTATATTGTTTTATTATGGTCAATGGTCATGACTGTGCTGCAGCAGTAATGCCACATAATATACATTTTAAAACAAGCTTACATTTCAATTCAGTGTCTTCATTTCTCCACAATGCTTTATTCCAAAAAATAATTTTAAATGTATTTAATGTGGGAACACAGCAGTGCTTGGTGCTGACAATTTACGTCCTTCCATCAAAGATGCAGCATATACAATCTACACAGGCGTGCTGAGTGACAACCTCTGTATAAGAGTGCATAGGATGCAGCAAACAACATGACGAGGGGGCTAGCTTACTAAATATGGCTCTAAGAAAAGAGCTAATCAATTGAGTAGTAATTAAGCAAACTCTCTATAAACATAGCAAACCATTAAAATTCTACTAAAGCTTGTTTTCAACACAATGACTTGCCTGCCAAAAACACAATAATCTCATATTTTTTTTCCTACCCTCGTACAGGGATGTTTGCTTCTTTTGCTGCGGCTGTGACTGCTTCGAATCTCTGCAAACTTTCCTCAATTGAACAATTAATATTCTTCTTACTGAACAACTCAGAAGCTGCTCCAAAAATGGCCACTTCTTTAGCACCACACTGCACCTGTAATCGAATTAAAAAAACAAGATAATTATACATATGGCAGGGTAGGCAAAGGTGTATTTTTAATATCTAAATAAATACATGATATGACTGGACAGAGATGAGCTGAAATTTCGGTTGCTATAATGTTCGGCCAAAAATGGCCCATTTAGGACGAAAAAGCGTCATTTCGGCCGAAAATTACACCCCTCCCCCCCATTATGAGAGGGCACAATGCCCGGTTAGTAGCCAGCACTATACGAGGGCACAATGCCCAGCAGCCAGTTACAGCTTACATTCAGGGTGCAGAGGTCAGACAGCTGCGTGATCTCCGCCGTCAGCTCCTCCAGCTCGTTACCGGACAGATCCAACACCCGCAGGGCCTTCAGCTTGCTGAGAGCCGGGGGGGATGCTCTGCAGCTTATTGCGGCAGAGCACCAGGCTCTGCACGTGGGAGAGGAGGCCCAGACCATCTGACAGCTCCCGCAGCTCGAGCACCCACTCACCTCCAGGTAGTTGAGGGAGAGGGTGAAGAGAGCCGGGGGGAGCTGGCCTTCCACATGCCCACAGCTTTTAATCCATAACTGGACCATGGACTACCAGCTCCAGGCGCTTCTCTTTCTCTACCTTCTCTATCCCCGCCACTGCTCGTTGACTGCCGCCATCTTTACCGACCCTCAGACCCAGAAATACTAGAGCGGCCAATCAGAATCTAGCACACCCGAAGATCGTTATAAACTGCTTCCGCCAGGAGATAGGAGTGGGCAAAACTAGCCTGTAATGTGCGTCTGTCTGTGACTACTACTCCACTCTAAACACACAGTATGATCACAGAACACATATACCTCAAGTGCAAAACCTCTAGTGACTAGTACCCTTGTCTAGTCTAGTGACTTAACTAGACTAGTAACTTTGGTCTTACCTCCAGTTTCCCCTTGCTACCTCCAATGTATTTTATGTTTTTACACCTTGTCTACCTTCCAGATTGATCTATTGTCTGTATACAAGTTTCTGTGCTAAAAACAAGCGTTTTTAATAAAGCTCATGTACTTGATTTTCTAAGCACTACTTTGGAGGTTTTCTACGTATATTCACAGCTGTAACTAGGTAAAGGAGTAGCCTTATAAGGCTAGTTCTTATTTATTTTTTGCACTTCAGATTTATGTGTTCTGTGATCATACTGTGTATTTAGAGTGGATTATCATTCCATTTACTAAGATACTAACTACACTATTCCAGACTCCACTTATCCACCTACTGGTGGAGTAGGTGAAATTCTTTATGTTTAAGTGTAGAGGGTTAAACTCTTTGGACATAACTGGAGTGTCCGACTGGTGAATAGATCCTAAGAAGTAAACTTTTTGAGCATCTTATTTTGTGCTACTTGTTTGTTGTCTGTGATTGTACAGCATAGCCTGTAATGTGTGTCTGTGATTGTATAACCTGGCCTGTAATGTGTGTCTGTCTGTGATTGTACAGCATAGCCTGTAATGTGTGTCTGTGATTGTATAACCTGGCCTGTAATGTGTGTCTGTCTGTGATTGTACAGCACTGTAATGATTGTATAACATGACCTGTAATGTGTGTGTCAGTGATTGTATAACATAGCCTGTAATGTGTGTCTGTCTGTGATTATACAGCATAGCTGTAATGTGTGTCTGTGATTGTACAACATAGCCTGTAATGTAGGGATGCATCAAAATGTTCGGCCGAAAATCGGCCTATCCTATCAAAATCATTAAGGGAAAAAGGCCATTTTCGGTTTTCGGCCAAGGGCATCCTGAATTTTTGGTTTCGTCACAGAATTTTAATTTTGGGGCATCCCTAACTATAAATAAATGTTCCTCATTAATCACAAAACATAACACTATAATTTGTTTTATTATTTTTTAAGTGATTATTAGTGAAATCATTAATTGTTATAACTTCTTATTTTCTAGAATAATTTTGTTTGGAGGACATAGCAGTTCATCAGATCAATACAAAATTGTGTTACTAAAGAAAGGTGTGGGTTCTTACCTTTCAGGAATGGAAACAGAGTCCTAGTTAAATCATTTAACATTTAATGTTTCTTACCGCAGATTGAAATCCTGTGAGATTTGGAGTCAGGACTGGGTAGCTGACATTTGGAAACCTCTTAATGCCATGCATCACATTTGCATGGTCTGACATCTAGTTAGGAGGGAGAAAATTTTTGAAAACAATGATTTTTTATTTTTTTTTAAATTATTTTTATTTTAACAGTACTCATATTTATGATTTGTCACTCTCTGAATGCACTATTACTTATATGCATCTGAACCTCCATACATCAATGCTCTGGTATACAAGTCCTTGTACATGTCAGAGCTATGCGACTAAGCCATATACATGCCATAACAATTCTGTACATCACCCTTGACACATAGAATGTGACGGCAAATAAGAGCTATTCGGCCCATCTAGTCTGCCCAATTTTCTAAATAGTTGCATTAGTCTCTTATATCTAGGATAGCCTTATGCCTGTCCCCCGCATGCTTAAACTCCCTCACTGTGTTAAACTCTACAACTTCAGCTCGAAGGCTATTCCATGAATCCACTACCCTCTCAGTAAAGTAATACTTCCCGATATTATTTTTAAACTTTTGCCCCTCTAATTCAAGACTATGTTCTCTTGCTGTTGTAGTTTTCCTTCTTTTAAATATATCCTCCTGCTTTACTGTGTTGATTCCCTTTATATATTTAAATGCTTCTATCATATCCCCCTTGTCTCGTCTTTGCTATACAAGTTGAGCACAACATTTATCGTCTGTATTTCCCCATTGTACATGCCATTATGATTGTGAATGGCAACCCATTCTATAATATTACTGTTCCATGCCTGATCGCTGAGCAATGAAAACAGAATTACTTGTTTGTGTTTTAGCCATCTATATACTGCTTTTAGGTAATTGGTCAATCTACACAATACTACTGTTCTGGGCCTCCTATCCATAAGAACTGTTGTGTGCCCCATTTTTGTACAAACCACATTCTTTGTCTAATAATTGCAGCAGTTCAGTACACCTACCACTTTTATTTGTTAAAGATTGGCGCACTTTTACATTGAATCATACAACAAATATGATTAATTTAGTGGTTAATTTACTAAACATTGACCTGTTGTGCATTCAACACGAGGAAGTTAGGCCACCGTATAAAGTAAGGAAAAATACTCTACAAATCAGATGGGATAGATTTTTGCAATTTTGTTAATTTTACATAATGTCAAAATTTGAATGGCAACACTTAAAAGGACACTCTAAACACCATTACAACTGCATCTCATTTTAATGGTATAACACCGAACAAGAGTCCCCATGCAGCCTGGTCCCGACTTGAGCCATGACCAGAGCAGAGTGAACCCAAGTTGTCTTTCCCTGGGAAAATTCTCCACAATTGTTTATTCACAAAACACTGAACTGTAGTGAACTGATAGCCAAGCTAGAAAACTTTAGGCAATATACGTACCTGAGGTACCCACTTGGGAGACACAAAGCTAGTGGCCTCTATTGACTGCAGTCCTGCTTCTGATAACATGTTGATTAGATTAATTTTGACTTCAGTAGGAACAATTGCCTATTAAATAGTCAAAAAAATAGTGAAATAATGAGATGTCATTAATACACATGATAGTAGATGCTAAATTAAGACAATCATAATCATATCATACATTGTGGCACTTTACAAAGAATCAACGTATTGAAGGAACATTGCTGGTTTATTTCACCCATTCCAATACATCATCTAATAATCTACAGAATAAAATAATTCTCCCCTTATTAGAAAATTAAAAAAAACATCTTACTGAATGTCTCTCCTTTGAACTATCCCCAGCAAACTTGAAGTATCTGTAATATGTGCAGAAACCAGGTTTAGATATATCAACCAATTATTTGTATCCTTTTTAAGAGAATAGAAATTCTAAAAATGAGTGTTGAGTATCATCTGCATTTCGCAGGTAGGACCACCTTGGGCGCAGTGATCCTGAGCAATTGAGGACAGAGAGGCATAGTGTTTCAGACTTCATACTGAAGCACCCTTTGCAATGGCGTAATGATTTAAACACTTAAATGAGAGGTGGCCAAAAATCTACAGGAACAGATAAGGGGGTAACCCTAAAGAAATTGTTAATAACGAAAAGAAAAACAGAACTCTGTTCCAACTATTATGATAACATACTGTCATGATAAATAATAAGTATATAAAAATCTGAAAGATACTTTATTCGTAAAACCAAAAAACACAAAAAAATTATAATAAATAAAAATAAACACAGATAAACCCTGGCGGATGCGCGTTTCTCCTTGAATTAGAGGCTCATCAGGGGGAACTTATTCGCCGGATTCCCGGGGTTTAAAAAGCCCGCCCCTAAGGGATCCTGAGGGATTAGATTATATTGACATCAGACAACCAAATCTGGTTTTAATTATATCACTATCCAATCTAGCTACTTTTCATCTGTTTGAGCCACTTCGGCCAGCGTACTTGCCTGCATCCCCTGATTCTATTAGTAACCAATCAGACTCAGGGGCGGGCTTTTTAAACCCCGGGAATCCGGCAAATGAGTTTCCCCTGATGAGCCTCTAATTCAAGGTGAAACGCGCGTCCGCCAGGGTTTCTGTGTTTATTTTTATTTATTATTATTTTTTGTGTTTTTTGGTTTTATGAATAAAGTATCTTTCAGATTTTTATATACTTATTAATCACGACAGTATGTTATCATAATAGTTGGAACAGAGTTCTGTTTTTCTTTTCGTTATTAATGATTTAAACACAGCTTTTTAAACAGAGCTGGGCATTCTTTGAGACTTGTGTAAACATGGTTTCTCAAAATTACTTTTCCCCAGCTTTTAGAGATATACTGATGATGCCCAACAGGAATTTTCAAAATAGCATAAACATGTGGGTAGTTCTGTCTTGGTAGGTCTCACCACAACTTATTTAGTATGTAGCTATACGCTAGAAGATTTCAACTTCTACACAGCTTGCAGAGCCCCATGGCTGGTTTTTGGTTGCTGATTCTTTTGGAACTGGACCTATGCTTTAGTTTAAAAAGCTGTGTATAAAACAGTGCTCCTATGCCAATGGTGTCTGCAGGAATAAAGCGTGAGATCCGAAACATAATGCCTGTCTATGCTGATGATAGAACTGTTAAAACATAATTTCTTGGAATTACTGGTGGATTTTTCCAAGATTCTACTTGAGATATGCAAATGATGCACAACAGCAATTTATTAATATGCATTAACCTGTAGGGAGATTTATAGTGTTTGGTATTCACAATCCATTTTATTATCTAAATAGAAGAAAACAGTTCTGCAATATATCTACAATAGTGTTTTTAACAATATAGGGGCGATGAATACCAAACAGGGCAACTAATTGTATTGTCTTTACTATGTATTATAGACTCAGAAACACACCTATTGACTTGGCATACTAAAGCGAAATAATATTTACTCGTAAAAAAAATGTGACAATATCAGTTGTTTTATTAGGTACCATTGCTTACAGCATAAGGAATGTTATGTGCAATTCAGGATAGTAAAACAGAGAAAGTAAAATAATTAAAAGTTTAATCTTAAAAAGCTTATCAGAATTGCTGTACTTTGTGGGAGTAACGCTATGGACACAAAGTGAAGTTTTCATCTGAGGCTGGTGTAAAGTAAAGCTCTTTAAAGGTTCTCATAGATAATATTCAAAATCAATTGACATATAGACTTAAAGTAGCTCTGTTAATGTGCAGGTGTTGCTCTTAAATTAATCCTTTCTTTGAGCCCTCTATTTCTCCTTGTTTTATTAGATTTTTTTTTCAAACATATCTTTTATATCAAACATATCTTTTTATAGGTTTTTTAGTTATACATAAGAATGTGTGGAAACTCTTCTTTTCATTAAAGGACCACTATAGGCACCCAGACCACTTCAGCTTAATGAAGTGGTCTGGGTGCCAGGTCAGAGAAACTGCTATGTTTATAATAGGGTTACTCCAGCCTCTAGTGGCTGTCTCTTGACAGCCGCTAGAGGCGCTTGCGTGCTTCTCACTGTGATTTTTCACAGTGAGAAGACGCCAGCGTCCATAAGAAAGCATTGTGAATGCTTTCCTATGGACTGGCTGAATGCGTGCGCGGCTCCTGCCGCGCATGTGCATTCAGCCGATGACGTCGCTATGGAGGAGGAGAGCTCCCCGCCCGGCACTGGAGAAAGAGGTAAGTTTAACCCCTTCCTCTCCCCAGAGCCCGGCGGGAGGGGCACCCTCAGGGCACTATAGTGCCAGGAAAATGAGTATGTTTTCCTGGCACTATAGTGGTCCTTTAAAGAAGAAAAACAAGAAAGATTTACTTTAAGGCTTATCGTACATTCAAGCATCGGTATACATTTTGTATTTGTACCTTTTCATTTTGTAGTCCATCCCTCGGTCCAACTTCAACAATTTTTACTTCTTTAGGGAATGTGTAACTGGGTAAGGAGCTAATCTGTAATACACATAGCGCAATCAGCCAATTTACATATTTATAGGAACAAGAGACAAGCATAACACAATTCTGTACAATGATTGTTACATAGATCTATTTGGAAAGCAACATGATTTTTTAAAAGTTAAGATAGCAGTACATCCATACGGTTCAACATTAAATATTCAATGTAGATAAAAGCCTGCAAGTAGATATATGTTCATGCTCAATATATTATGTGTATATTGTCTACATTACCATAACTATACGAAGGCAACACATCAAGCACAATAGCCAATACAGCTCACTGTCGAGGTTATGGTGCTAGAAATGCATTTTTGAATGGTTTAACTTCTTACTTGGGAGCCACTGCCAACTTCACTACCATGTCCCGAGACCGTAAATTCCTCAGTAAAGCCGATCAGTCTCAGACAACTATCTGACCTCCATTTAAAGTCTTAGCTGAGGAGAGCTAACAAGTTTTTTTCTGAGTAAAATTCTGTCTCTAGGGACATGGTAGTAAACGGCAACCGGCATACCCTAGGTAAGAAGTTAAACTGTTTAAAAATACCTTGACACCTTCTGTTGGGGTATCCATATGTAATGTATTGTTGCATATATACAGCACTTGTTTTTTTTTTCAGTTTTCCAATCATAACTTTGACAACAATGTTGTGAGATATGGTATGACGGATATGTAAACTGCACAGACTTTGAGGATTGAAGCTCCAAATGTGGAGTCCTTTACCCGAGACCTTTACAGCTCATGGATGGGCAGGTGTATTTTTTTTCTTTAAATTTTAAACATCAGACAGCTGTATCTCAAAACAGCTACCTCTTATAAAAAGAAAGTTCAATAGTATAGTGCTCTGCCAGGTGTAAAGGGGGTGGTGCTCCCTGATGATGGTCAGGAAGAGGTGCTTGTGAACAGATGTTTTCTGTACACATTTTTATTAGTTATGTAGCTGCGGTTTCCTACTAGGCTCTCATTGCTGTTCATGGGCAGAGAGAAGGGGACATAACAGACAGAGGCAATGGTATGTAATGACGTAGCCCAACTTATCTGATGGTGTAGGGAACACAGTGATTTCTTTTGGGCACAAGCCTCAGGTTTTCCTGTAACCAAGCAACACCCCTGGTAAATTGCAGAGATTCCCTTTGTAAATGAAATGTGAAGCTTAAACAAATTTGACATCTGTTGGTTTATATATTAAAGAGATACAATAGCCACCAGAACAATCCTTACCTTTTTGTGTAATTTTACCCCACTCCCTCTAGCATGTAAGCTCATTGAGCAGGGCCCTCAACCCCTCGGTTCCTGTGTGTCCAACTTGTCTGGTTACAACTACATGTCTGTTCGTCCACCCACTGTAAAGCGCTGCGGAATTTGACGGCGCTCTATAAATATCATAATAATAATAATAACAACTACAGCTTATTGTATTTGGTCTAGTGAGTATAATCATTCCCTTCAGGCTTTTTGCAGTAAACACTGTCTTTTCAAAGAAAATGCAGTGTTTGCATTACAGCATAGGCATACCTCCACTGGCCACTCCTTAGATGGCTTCCTGTGGCAGTGCTGCACAGTGATTCAATGCATCTCTATGAGGAGATGCTGATTGGCCAGGGCTGTGTTTGGCTTACACTGGCTCCTTGACAAGCTCAGCCAATCCAATGCGTTCCTATGGGAAAGCATTGGAATTGGCTGAGTTAACCACTTGTGTCTGTCAGCCAAGCAGGCAGATCAGGGACCGAGCCAGAAGCAGCAGGCTGGAATAAAAGTAATATTTTACTATATTTAGGGGGGCAAGATAGTGTTTTTAACACTATAGAATGAAGAATACATGTTTGTGTTCCTGACCCTACAGTGCTCCTTTAAACTAATCTCTTCTTCCGTGTTTGCATTGTCAACTGTCAGAGTTGCTTACTAAATTTTCAAAACTAACCTTTGGCAGTCGGAATGCAAAAACTGGGCACTGTTCTGAAGATTGATCAGTGTCTGGATTTTACAACACTGCCTTCAAACTAGATTGACTATAGACCGGATTTCAGCTTGCCGATATGCAAGTGATTTCTCATAATCTATAGTAGCTGGTCACTATCTACCAGGAAATTTGATTCAGTTTAGTTTTACTGAATATACAGATAGTGGACAATTTTTCTATTAAAATATAAAATATAAAAGGTCATTAGCACAAATTAGATAACTTATTCCTATGGAGAAAGGATAACTCCATAGCGGGGAACATTATATTCCAATAATTAAAACAAATAGTTCAGATTTCCGTAAGCTTACCTGAAACCAGGTGCTTTTATTTGTGAATTTGCCTACTACTGGATTTGTTTTCTTTGAATTTGGTGCTTAAAAATGTATGTGATCATTTATATAGATTTGCATGTGACAATTATGCATTTTAAGCAGACACTAGTTGATACATAATGAGATGTGCTTATTAAATTATGCCTCTAGCCAAAGAGAATTCGAAATGTGGGTAACATTTGATCATTTTAATCAAATGTTGCTAATCTACACTAATTTAATTTGAGTAAAAACACATGTATGTTCTTATTTTGGTTAAGAATTTAGCAATTATTTATGGTTAACCTGTTGTAATCCATAAATATATTTACGCACTCATTCATAAAATGAAGGTGTAAATGAAGTGTAACCTGCCCCTCTCAACAAAATCACTGTGGAGCCCAGAACTGCTCAGCATTCAGTTAATTTTGGTTATATCCGAAATAGGAAGTAGCAGTTGTGCAACAAAACGTACCATATCCTGTCCTATTGTGTTTTATACACCACCTCCTATAGACTGTAAGCTCGTTTGAGCAGGGTCCTCTTACTATTATTATTTTATTATTTATATAGTGCCAGCAAATTCCGTATCGCTGTCTACTTCAACCTATCGTTTCTGTAAGTTTTCTTGTAATTGTCCTATTTATAGTTAAATCCCCCCCCTCTCATAATATTGTAAAGCGCCACGGAATCTGTTGGCGCTACATAAATGGCAATAATAATAATAATAATGTTAAATCTCATTTGCTGATTAAGCATAAATTGTGTCCTTTTCGTTTACAGGCACAGCTAATACATGAAAAGCTATGCTAGTTTTACAGGCATAGGCAACCTTCGGCACTCCAGATGTTTTGGACTACATTTCCCATAATGCTCTTACACCTATAATGCTGGCAAAGCATCATGGGAGGTGTAGTCCAAACCATCTGGAGTGCCGAAGGTTGCCTATGCCTGGTTATAAATAGACCTTGTCCTCGCTCTGACCTGGCGCAGGACCAGCCCGGGTGTCCAGCCTGCCCCCAGCCCCCAGGGCACAGCTCTCCGTGCAGTCACCGCTATCATGCCTCCCAGCATGTCAACATTGGAGCTCTCACTTCCGCTTCCGGTGCGCCAGGCAGGGTCTAGCGAGCAACAGAGAAAGCCGACCGGAAGTGCAAGTCAGCTGCTGGCAGACGCTCTGCGTTCACCATGGCAACCAGCCCATCCCTGGCCTCCCTCTCTCCCTTTACCCTGGTTACTGGGCTCTCTCCTCGCACAGTCCTAGATTCGCCGTGGCTGGGATAGGCCAGCGGAGCCGGCCCAGTGCTTCAGCGCCGATAACCCGGATGATTTAAAAAAAAAAAAAAAAAAAAAAGTATTTGGCGGAGAGAGAGAGAGAGAGAGAGAGAGTGAGAGTCAATGAACTACAACTCCCGGCATGCCAAGCGAAGCCACTGCAACCGGAAGTAGCTCCACTACCAACTGTGGGTTCCAGGCTGCAGCTCTGCATGGAGGGCAGTGACAGGTTTGTGGGCTCATCCATAACACCCCACTGCACGTGTTTATAATCAGTAATAGAAATACCTGAACAGTGTGAGGTTTGATATCAACATATAATGTGCACAGGGTCTGTACAGAGGGGGGGATGGGGGGTCTGTTTATCCCAATGGTAAACACTATTCCTTGTTTATATGTATGTTTACTAGCTAGATAGGGACATTAAGGGATTTTATGAAGAATAACAGGGTTATTCATTAAAGTGAGAATTTAAACTGAATTCAAAGTGAATTTCAAATTTAAGAGTGGTCAAACTAATAGTTGACTTGGAGAATTTGGCTATTTTTTTTTATTTTTTTAAACCTTAGATTTAGAAATTCAATTAGAATTCACCTGGAATTCTCACTTTAGTTGATAACCCTGTAAGTACAATTTTTTTCTTTTAATTATCTAAATTTCAACTAAAAGAGTGCCCTGTCGCTTTAGTCACGAACTAGTAGTTGTGCATAGCTTGCGTTGTAATGGGGAGTTAGGTTTATAATTTGAAAATCCCTTCTTGGTTATCCGCTATAAAATTACCACGGCTAGGATTATACACTAAATGAGAAATTGTACAGAATAGATAGGGGACATTGTAAATTGTAGGCGAAATACTTGAAAACAATCAAGATATATTGGCCTAAAATGGACAATGGTGTGTCCGTTTTTACCAGTTCCCAGTTTTGTGCATGTACAAACATTCTGCATGTGTATTTCGGTTGTATTTTATTTAAAACTAAACTCGGACTTGCAGAGACCATACAAATGCATACACATTTTTGAGGCAGCTTGGTACAGTGAAACAATATTCAATTTTTGTAAACTAGAAACCATTGCTTTGGATGGCCTTTGTAGTGTCAAGTTCAGTAAATTAATTTTCCAATTCAGTTTAAGGGCACCAGTTCAATTCATTGCATTTTATGGAAAGCTTTTATTTGTGAATTTTCTTCCTGCCTTTTTCTTTAATTATTGTAATGTAGTTGCCTGCATTATGTCTTACTCACAAAACACAGGAGTTTAAAGAGACACTATAGTCACCAGAACAACTACAGCTTATTGAATTTGTTCTGGTGAGTAGAATCATTCCTTTCAGGCTATTTGCAGTAAACACTGTCTTTACAGAGAAAATGCAGTGTTTACAGTACAGCCTAGGGATACCTCCAGTGGCCACTCCTCAGATAACTACTAGAGGTGCTTCCTGTGGCACTGCTGCACAATACAGTTAGTGCCTTCACCCTCTTACCTCAGAGATTCAATGCATCTCTATGAGGAGATGCTGCTTGGCCAAACTGTGTTTGACTTGTGCTGGCTCCTTGACAGTCTCAGTCAATCCAATGGGATAGCATTGTGATAGGCTGAGAGAATAATTTCTGATGATGTCAGCGAAGGAAGGCGATCCGGTGCAGAGCCAGCAGCACAAGACTGGAATAAAGTTATGATTTTTACTATATTTAGGGGGACCGGGGTGACTAGATGGTGGTTTTAACACTATAGGCTCAGGGATACATGTTTGTGTTGCTGACCTTAGAGTGTTCCTTTAATGCACAGTTTGTTAGTAACAATTTCACAATAATAAGACATTGTGTGGGGCAGGAACATGTTACAGTTGTAGGAGGTCCCGATTTGTATTTATATTATTTATATGTTTAGGGGAATGCATAGCTTCCCTGAGTTATATAGATTGATGAATTATGGACTGAATTTCTAAGTGCAGATGGTTGTGCAAATCACTGCAGATTTGAGACAGAGAGAATGGAGTCAAAGTACCTTTATGTCGTAACCTGTGCATAATGTTAATTTCCTTTCGTTAGATGTGTAATTGTCTCTTTAGTGTAGGTCTATAGATTAAAAAAAATATTTTGTCAGCTAAGTTTTACAAATACATTATACGAAAATTAAATCCATTTATTATATGAAAACTTAAATTGTTTTAAAAGATGATCTCTGCAATATATGTAGGCTAATAAAATTAAGAGCACTATCAGTGAGAGATAATCTGATGCTTCTTGGCTTGATATAGGAGGAAGAGCACAAGTTTGGAAAATGATTTGACGCAGATGCTCCATGTGTCAGCCTGAGTTACGCTAATGGGTAATGACTTTTTGATTGTTTAACTGTTTTTCTTTAATATCTGTGTTATCTATATTACAAACTGACAAAACTGAAGTAGACATGGCTTGTAAACAAAAGTAAGCGAAGGCAGGTACACTAGGTGAACTGCACCCAAGTTCCCAACTACGTAAGTGGCATGTACACCATTAGCGTCTGCCACTCTTATGGATGCAGCTGCCCATCCAACTAACTTGTTAATAATGTGAATGGCTGAACTTGATGGACGCATGTCTTGTGGCAGTCCTCTCCTAGGTGATTAAAGTGTTGCTCCCAAGGATTCCATTTCTCCCTTAGTGAAAGCCCCACAGTGATTATATCCCTCCCCTAGTCATCAGCCGAGGCTTGATGTCACGGTAAAACAAGAATACTTGATTAGAGTGACTATTGCCTTTTTATACATGGATCCCCAACAGGAGATCATTAGTCCGATACATCACCGCCGAACAATAGTCCCCCCAAAACCATCCGTTTCCATGCCCACATCCACAAACTGGTTATCCTCATGGATAGCTTTCCCCTAGACAGGAGTTCAGCCCAAAAGGCTCTCAGTTCGAAGGTTCCTCTCCCATATGATATATTTTGAATGGTACGCGAGCATCCTCCGATCTGACGTAGAGTTCCAGAGTGCTGTGTGGAAAGTCCCATTCACTTTCAATTTCTGCATACAGGGTAAGTGCATGGAGCCACCTCAAGTTCCTGGTGTCGTTCGATGCCTCGCCACCTCCTCTATCACCCCTCCAAACAGCGACTTGTTTGGTGGTCCTGGGGCAGAGATCGACCTTGATGAAGTTTGACTGGACCGCGGTCCGATCTAGAGTTCAGGAGGTTTGTAGGTCGCTCCCCGTATTGTTTTGTTTGATAACCCCAAGTTGTGATTACTCCTCTATATGTAGTTTAATAGAGTCAATTCTACTTCATCCTTCACTAAGTCTCGGGTAGTGTTTGGGTGAGACTGCTATACATGTTGGAACTATAATCACTGTGTCCTGATCCAGGGTGGAAAATCTCCAAAAGGACCCCAGTCAAACTGTGGTGGCTGGGCAGAAGCATTCCAGGTTTTCATCTGTGGCTGCCAGGGTACAAGAAGCTCCATCACAAAGTGAAACTGTCACTTGTGAAAATTTTGCACAACCAAATTTGCATGTGCTGTTTATTTTAATTTTAATTTACATGCTCTGCTGGTGATGGCTTGCGCTCATATAGCACTATTGATGGAATGCATAAGTGCACATGGACTTGATCGAATCATCATGGCGTGTGAAGTCACCTGTGTGACAAACGGAACTTCGTCACGGGTTCTTGGAGGGGACTGCTTGCCAGCCTCCTGCCAAGGGACTATGGACCCTTTAAAAAAAGATGTGAACAGGCTTGATTCGTGGGATTTCATATTTGGTACGAGAACCGAACAGGCGCATGAACCAGAGACCACCCGGGAGCTTGTTAAGCCTAATTGACAGTTTGAAACACTTTCCACTGCAGTGTTCTAAGTGTTCGTCTGGGTGACCACTGTTCGCATGAATGACCACGAGGTGGCAGCCATCTTGTTCCCGCGAACACAGGCAGCGGTGTTTGGTTGTCGAGTTCATGAAACTGTTTTTGGACACTGAAACTCCCGAACACCCCTGAACTTCCAGGATCACCTGCGTTCGGTTCTGCACAACTTAGAAGGGCACTGTTTGGTGGAATCGTTCATCTGGATGAGGAGAGCAAGCTCCAGGGTAAGACCATTGACTATGTTTGGTAGCTTGTTTGTTTTTTTTAAACTACAGAACTAGATCGACCACAAGCCCTGATTCCCTGGAGCCTCGTGTGGTCAGTCAAATTAGGAAATCCCCAACTCCTGAACAGATCTGGGTGATTTTTGGAAATGTTGGTCCCCCAGATCGGTGCTATCAGGGTATATGACTTTTGTGGAGTTTCTGTGTGTTTTGGGTATTATAAATTTGTGTGTTTTCTGTGCCTGTAGATCAATTATCTCCCAGGCACAGAGGAGGGATTATCTTGTTTTATGTGGCAGTGTCCTGGACCAGAGAACCAATGTAATCATGTGTATGTTTTTGCTGTAGTCTACTCTCAGGTCCAGTGGGGAATGCCCCTGCAATATGTAACCGGAAACCCCTTGCATGAGGACCTGCATATAAGGCCAGTTGTGGCTGCCATTAAACATATTTGTTTTACCCTTCATGAAGTCTAGGCTTATGTTTGGGGGATTGGAGAGCTATATTCACTCTGGGAATTGCTATAATCACTATACTCCCTTGATTTACAACAGTTGCTCTTGTAAGAGCAGCCTGCTTTGCTCTCTGGATTGGGAGAGGTTTACCCACTGGAAGCTGGATCCTGGTTTTGGGTAAAGGGTGGATGGAGGACAGCGAGCTCCCATCCAAGCTGCGGTGGTTTGTGGGGTTTACTGTGGTTATGGTGTGCGGTGCTTGGAAGTACTCAGAGGTACTAGAAAGCAGTAATTGGCTGAGGCACCCAGTCTGGGTTCCAGGTGGTCCGTCACAACATGAAAAGCAGATGTGCAGGTGTAGTAATTGTTGTTTTTTAAATTTATTTTTTATTTACCGCACTCCACTCAATGTGATTATACATCACATTAAATGCTTCACTAGCATTTATTGGTGTGCTGGAACAAAGACGTGCCTCATCAGAAATATTACAGTTCTGTTTAAGTGCCTTCTCTGCACTGAACTGCCCTGTGGCCTAATTAGGAGAGGTCTTTTGATCTTTCATTACTGGAAAACTGTAGTTTAGACTAAAAGGGAGGCTTTTGCCAAGTCACATACCCTCGGTTAGTCATATTTTCCCTTTTGCATTACATACCACTAGCCATCCAGTCATATTTACCAATCCACCCACCGAGTAAAATAAGTTACCCACACCCACTAAACCAGGAACACATACAAACCTACATCTTTAGGCTTGCAAAGCATATTGGAAAATGTTGTCCACAAACATCTGCAATGCTATGGACGATTCTATTGACCACATTCTTTTAGAACCTAGACAGAGTTTACAGCTCCATGAAATTGATTATACTAGCCACATCACTATCAAATGAATAGATGGATATTTAATTTGAATACCTACCAATACAAGTCCTCTATTGAGTATGCTGGTCCATTGCACTAGAAATTTCCAAAGCTGTCTGCTGGCAGTCCATGTGGGCCGCAACATGCATTTATTTCTGGTGGCCTACTTGGAGGAATCATACAGTCATCAGGCAGGTTTATTTTGTAATCTCTCTATCTGATATGAATTGCTGAATTACATTTCTTTAAAAAAAATATTTAAGGCTTGAATTTCCTTGGCAATATTTTGTGTATATTTTTTGAGTTAGTTGGATTCAACTTTAAATCAATGTTTTTCTCAACAATCCATGAGTCATTTTAGTTTTTTTTTTCTTTTTCTGTTTCTTTTCAGACAGTTGTACCACCTCCAATACAATAGTTGTACCACCTCAAATACAATACAATAGAAATGAGTATCACACAGAATCATTTCCTGTTGACTGGGAAGGAGAAACTGACATTTCCCTTTCTATCCGTAATGAAGATAACAACTATGGTAGTTTCCAGGAAGCGGCTGAAAATAAAGGAATTCATGTTGCAGAGACCGAGAAATCAGTGCCAGATAAAATAGAAAGTGGTCAGTATTTCTTAGACTTTTGGGAAAGATCAGTTCAGATGGACAGTAGGATTCACAACGGGGAGAAGCGCTATCATTGTAATGAATGCGGGAAAACCTTTACACGCAAGTCATCCCTCATAGTGCATCAAAGAATCCACACAGGGGAGAAACAATTCATGTGCACAGAATGTGGGAAGAAGTTTGGTCTCAAGTCCTCCCTTGTTCGTCACCTCCGAACTCATACTCCGAAGACACTTAATATTTGCCCTGATTGTGGAAAGTGCTTCACTCGATATTCCAGCCTTTTCCAGCACCAGAAGGTCCACAGGAGAGAGAAGACATATAAATGTACAGACTGTAATAAAAGCTTCTTACGGGAACCTCAGTTTGTAGCTCACCAGAAAACCCACAAAACGTTAAAACCCTGTGAAAAAGAAGAATGTACTGAGAATGTTAATGACCCAGACAGGTGTGATAACCACTCTAACACCAGTAGCACAGTGATGCCTTTTGTCTGTGAAGAGTGCGGTATGAGCTTTAAGGAACAAAGTGTATTAAAGAGACATCAGAGAACACATACAGGTGAGGTCTTATGAGGTATTCATTGAGTTAAAAATCAGAAAGCTTACTGAGTGTCTGAAGCAAGGTGTAAAGTAAAAGGAAACTGTCACCCCAAATATTAATTAACTTTGGAAGGTATTTAGAGTGACCATGCTAAGTGGTCACTCTAAGCACTAATCACATCTAAATGGTGCATAGAGTAAAATGCATGAGCTATACATGTTACATTTTTATAAAAAGTCTATAAAGCAGGTCTGGCTGATAAGCGCTTGGACTACCAGAGAATGCCTGTACCTCCATTATAAACCATCATTAATAGCCTCATCATTTTATGACCCCATTGTCACATTTAAACAATAATACAAGAGTTACCCTACCAGATTCAAATCTCCCATTATGATCCTAAAACGATTAATTGAGTTGAACAGTTACACAGAAGAGTAAATTGTGGCATTAAAACGTAAAGCCCTTAGGTGGCAGACTTGCATCAAATAAAAGAACAATCTGAGCTTTGGCTCAATAGTTGCACCTCTCAGGAAACATGATTTACTGTGTTGGCTTGATGAAAAGGGACACTGTAAGTTGAATAGGTTATAGTGCCTGGAGTCCCCTGGCACTGTCACTCTATTCTGTGTTAAATAGAGTTGTGCACGGCAGTATTTTTCAGTTCGTCTGAATTAATTTGGATGAAAATAAAATGTAAGTTTCGGCTCAAATTAATTTTGTCTATGAGTCGATTCATTTTGTATTCAAGTTGTTAGATATTTTCGTTTCGTAATTTACATATGGACGTATGGAATGCCGTGATGTTTCTGTGGTTAGAAATGGATAAGTCCATAATTTAGTACCATTATAGTAGGGTTTCAATATGTATTGAAAAAGGTATTTTCTTAATTTTGTTCTTTCAGCTGTTTAGTAAATAGGTCCTTAATCTTGTACCGTTATGTAGAATTACTGTATGTAAGGATACGAAATGGGGAGATATCAACTGAACACAGCTCCCTAACTTGGCCATAGTACCCTTAAAGATAGTAATCCCACATAAGGGTGCCAGTTTTATGAATTATTTACAAGAATTAACTAATAAATCTTCGTTCATTAGTTTATGCTTCCATTGTGCCATTCGGACGAATGGGCGAAAGAGACAATTTTCTATAAAATTGTGTTCCTTCCAAAATTGAATGCCCAGTTTTTGTACTAAACTGTTTTTGAACCCTAATAAGTATACCTGGCTATCCACAGCCCAGCCCCCACTGGGGTTATGGCTAAGGCAGAGATACAACAATTCTTTCTAGCCATACCAATTCATACCAGCAATGGATACTGTGATAGGCTGAATATTGTCTGCTCATCCAATCATATCTTTCTCATTAGCCAACGTAACACAGAGGGGATGTGTTGTTCGGCACTCTTGTTTATCATAGAAACATTAAAAATGGTTTAACCCCTTAAGGACACATGATGGAAATATTCCGTCTTCATTCCCTTTTATTTCAGAAGTTGTGTCCTTAAGGGGTTCATGTTGAATGAACTGATGGCAACAGGGAATTTTAGACACTATAACCTTTTTTTATTTTATTATTTTTTTTTTTGTAGTTTTGAAGCGGTGCATGTTACATCAGACATTTCTAGACATTTGTTATGGCTGTATCATATAGTATGTCATATATGCAGTTGCTTGTCGTAGTAATTGCGTACAGAATTCATCCAAACAGTTTCCATTGTAAACAGATACAGTGCATGGCCTTACATGGCCCTATCGTCAGTAGGATGTCGGTTCGTTGAAACCATTGCACCTTTTTTTGTTCTGGATATATATATCATAACACAACAAGTATAGTGATAACATAATAATACTTAATGGGGGATAGAGAAAAAAGAGAACGGGGGGTGATGTGGAGGAGGGACGAAGGGGGGGGTGTTGTCAAGGTATTCAGTTGCACATTTGTCTATGTTAGTCAACCTCTATGTGTGTGGTGTTCTAGGGCTTGTTTCGCATTGGCAGTCTTGTTCCTTACTGTTTGAGGATGATTCGACTTTGTGTGTGTCCCACATTTCCCAGGCCGTTACCCAAAATTTTTTTCCGGGTCTCATTTTCCTAGCCATGACTTCGTACCGTTTGGCTGATTCTATAATTTGGGTGCAAGTTGACAATTGCGGAGTGTGTCTCGACAGCCAGTTCCTGCCTATTAGTTGTAGAGCCGCTATCAGAATATGGTACATGAGATATTTAGCAGATATTGCTATATTTGGAGGGAACAATTGTAAAAGGTATAATTCAGGCTGAGGCGGCATGACTATCTTTGTAGTGGTTTTTATCAGTTTGGAGATTTGTGCCCAAAAGGGTACAATTTTAGGGCATGACCACCAGATGTGGTATGTGGTTCCTGGTTGGTCCATGCATCTCCAGCATTTACCTGTTGATTGGGTGTTTATGTGTTTTAGCTTGGTTGGGACAATGTGCCAGCGATATAGTATTTTCCTGGATATTTCTACGTGTGAGGCGCACATCGTTAAGTTTTTATTAGCTGAGAATATGTGGAGCCACTGTGTGTCGGTTAGTTTCATATTTAGGTCTCGTTCCCAGGCTGCGATGAACGGGGGTTTTATGGGATATGCTTTGCGGGTGATTTCATGATATAATTAAGACATAGGTTTATTTGGCGGCTTGGTTAGTAGACACATTTGTTCCGCCATGGACAACTTCGGAGATTGTTCGGATTGGGCCTTTGAGGGGTGGCATTTATAAAGCCATGATTTTATCTGCATGTGAGAGAAGTGTAGTGTCTTTGGTACTTGATATTCAGTTTGTAGGCGCTCAAACGAGAGCAGGTTGCCTTTGTCGAGTAGCTGGTGCAGGTGTATCACGCCATGGGAGGTCCATGTTTTTGCATTAAAGTAGGGTATGAGTGACGTGAGAGCCTGCAGTTTCATAGCGGGCGACGGGTACTCCGACGGCCAGGATTTGGTCTGGTGTTTGTCCCATAAGGACAGGGATAACCTAGTTGTTGGTAGCATATTTCTGTATTTGGGTCTGTGGGCGCGCGGTAACCATGCGAGTGTGGTGATATCTTGTCCTTCTGTGTAAGTGGACTCAATGACGAGCCATTCTGGCTGGGGATCTTGGTGGAATGCTGTGATTAATGGGCTGAGAATTGATGCCGAGTAATACGCCTGTAAATGTGGGATCCCCAGACCCCTCTGCTTGAAGGGTTTGCGTAGCACGGATGTTGCTACTCTCGCTTTTTTCTTGTTCCATATGAACTCGTTGAGGAGGGTCTGTGTTTCCCGGAGGAAGGTGTGTGGGAGTTGAATGTGTAATGTACGGAATAAGTACTGGAGTTTGGGTAGAAGTATCATTTTTGTCGCTGCAATTCGTCCCAGCCAGGAGACGTATTTGCCTGCCCAACCCATAATTTGACTTTTCAGTTTGTTCACTAGTTTAATGTAATTTGCCTGGAACATGGCCTGCGATGTGGCTGTAAATGCAACTCCTAAAAAAGTTAGGTTGTCTGTCCGCCAGTCGTATGCGTGGGCCTTTTTTAAATCTTGCAAAGTGCGGGATGACATGTGCATCCCCATTGCTTGCGTTTTGGAAATATTGAGTTTGTAGTATGAGCATGCACTGTAATCGGTCAGGATGTCGTGTAGAAGTGGGAGTGATGTGTGTGGTGATTCTATGGAAAGCATGATATCATCTGCAAACATTGTGAGTTTGTGTTCCCCGGGGCCTATTTGTATACCCTTGACATTGTGGCTCAATCTTATATGTTGCGCTAATGGTTCCAGGATCAGGATGTACAACAGCGGGGATAGTGGGCACCCCTGACGCGATCCGTTTGTAATGCTAAATTTTTTTGATATAAATCCACTATTGGCTACATGAGCCGACGGTGTGGAGTATAGCGCTGTCAGTAGGGACATGAAATTGGGAGGGAAACCGAATTTTGCTAGCGTAGCCTCAAGGAATCCCCAGTGCACCCTGTCAAACGCTTTCTCAGCATCTAGCGAAAGGAACACACTGGGTCTTCCCGAGGCCCGCGCGCTTGACATCAGATCTAGTAGTTTCCTGGTGCCATCCGAGCCCTGTCTCCCTCTGACAAACCCCACCTGGTTCGTGTGTATTACCGAAGGGATTATAGAAGCAAGCCTATTTGCGTAAATTTTCGCTAGTAACTTCGTGTCGGTGTTTAGTAAAGAAATCGGTCTCAGGTTCTGGGGCTTGGTAGGTGGCTTCCCCGGCTTGGGCAGCGTTGCAATGTGGGCTATCAGCATTTCTGACGGCATATAGCTTGTCGTTATGATGGCGTTAAATGTTTTCTCTATTTGCGGGGCTAAAGTGGATTTGAAACATTTGTAATAAATGTTCGTGAAGCCGTCTGGGCCTGGTGCCTTTCCCTGTGGTAGGGCGTCTATAGTTTTTTCTATCTCAGCAGCGGTGATCGGTTGTTGGATCATCGCCTGTTGGGTTGGGCTAAGGGAGGGGAGACAGGCCTGTGCTAAGAAGTTTTGTATTTCTTGAGTTGTGGGTTGATGTGTCTTAGTATCCTGTGCTAGATTATAGAGTTTGTCGTAGAACTCCGCCATGGTGTCATTTATCTGCTGTGGGTTTGTAATTTTGATGCCTGCATTGTTAAATACATGCGGTATTTTCGATCTGGTTTGGTGTTGCCTTAATAGGGAAGCCAGTGCTCTTCCCGCTTTGTTGCCCTGAGAGTATTGTGTCATTTTGAGTTTGGTTAGTGTATCTGATGTCTGTTGGAATAATATATCGTTTATTGCTTTGGTGGTGCGGTAAATTGCATCCTGGCCTGCAGTAGACGGGGAAAGGATATGGGCCTTTGTTTGGTCTCTGAGTTTTTTGAGAAGGGTGGTGTATTCCTCACGTGCCTTCCTTTTCAGGTATGCCGCCCGACTAATAAGGAGTCCCCGTATTACCGCCTTATGGGCGAGCCATACATTTTGGGGTTGTGTTTGCGGCGTGTAGTTTGTTTCGAAGTATAGTTTGATTTCTTTTTCTATTGTATTTTTGAAGGAGTCATCAAGCAGAAGATTGTCATGCAGTTTCCATGGGGAGGTTCCCCTGAAGGGAAATTTGTCTTGTAGGGTTAGGCGTACGGGCGCATGGTCTGACCATGTCAGGTCTCCTATCGTGCAGTCTATCATGGATGTGATGAGACTCGCAGCAATGAGGATGTGATCAATGCGTGAGCTGGTTTTATGGGCTCTTGAGTGGTGTGTGTATTCACGAACATTTGGGTGTATTGTGCGCCAGGAGTCATAGATATTGTATTCTAGCAGCAACTTTGTCATAGCTTTGCATTGGGGTTTGAGGGCGGCCTGCCTCCTGGTGTCACCAGCGACTGTCGTGTCTAAAGTTTGATCAAATATATGGTTCAAGTCTCCACACAAAATCAAATTTTGCAATTGTGGGCTAGGTATTTTGGAAAGGACTTTGTGTAAGAAATTTCTTTGGTTTGTGTTCGGACTGTACACTGAGGCAATTGTGTAGTTAATGTCGTTTATCGTGCAGTGAATAATGACGTATCTGCCTTGGGAATCTTTTTTAACTTGGAGTAGTTCGAACGAAAGTGATTTGTGAACAAGTATGGATGCGCCTCTGGACTTGGAGGAGTGTGTGGAGTGGTATTGCGTGGGATAATCTTGTTGTGCAAATTTAGGGACTTTGGAATGTGTGAAGTGCGTTTCTTGTACACAGAGGACGTCTATCTTGTCTTTCCTGGCCATGTCTAACAAGACACGCCGTTTGTGCGGGGTGTTCAAGCCGCACGCGTTAATAGTGTGTATTCTCAGGTTGTAATATTTGTTTGTTTATTTGGAGTACTCTTGTAGATCTATTTGCGGAGAGATTAACATACCTTGAACCAGGAAGGGACAACTTGGATGTGATAGGGAAGAGGTGGGAAGGAAAGGAATATATACAAGTTCCCTGTAGTCGGGAAGTGGTGCGGTGGGCGCGCACCGTGGGGTACGGAAACATTTGTCTCCTGTGGTGTGGCGTGTTGGCTTAGTAGCCTCTGGGTTTGGACAGAACTGTTTTTTTTTTTTTTTTTGAATATGTTAGGGTTGAAGGGAAGCTTGGGTGTGGTTACTGCATGAGTGGTTGCTGTACCGTGCATCGCTATGTTACCCCTTCACAAGTGTATGTGGGGTAGGACGAGCCACTGGGGCTCTTATGGGCATTTGGAAGGGCACATCTACATTCGTGCTACATCTTAGGCCTCTCTGCCCCATTTCCATTCCTAAACCCTATCCCAGGGGTCCACCTGTCTCCTTATCCCTAGGGCTGACTAGTAATTTGTATAGTCACAAAGGTTCTTCAACAGTGTCTCCCGCAACCCTTCAGTGATGTCAAGGGTGGCAAAGGGGGTTTGCACATGTATCGAGAGGGCACAGGACACACAACGAGACATATAAAGTGGCCAGCGGTATGGGCCACGAGGCACCCCGCGCGTCCCCCCGGTCCCTCCCCCCCCTCGGAGGGGAACGACCGGGGGAAAGCGCCCGGGCCCCCGCCGCCCACCCATCGGACTCAGCCACTATCCCATCAAATCATTGAAAACACATGTCCCATCGGATCCCCTACACCCCGCACTTCCCCGACCTCCCAGCCATCACTGTCCATGTGGCAACATGAGGGTTCACAGTAGCTCATAGGCTCCTTCAGGGGAGGCCCATTTCCCTGCATATGCCCAAGATCAGTTCAGACAATGATGTGTCCCCCCGTGGGTAAGAAGCTGAAGCTCTTCTGAGATGCCAAAAAGCGCGCAATGAGAGTCCCGCTGGGCCCTTCCAATGTCAGTATGCCTGTGGGAAAAAGTGTGTAGTGCACAATACTTGCGTGTCCCTCATGCAGCTGACAGCGTGGATTAATGTTTGTCCGGCACTCTCTGCCACTCTATGCGCAATCTGTTCGCTGACGGAGCTTTCTCGGGTTCCAGTTGTGGGTTGATACCCCACGACTTCAGCTGGTTGGCGCCATCTTCAGGGGTCAGGATGGCCTGGAGAGAGCCATTTCTGGTCACCAAAAGCTTCGTGGGATATCCCCACCTGTATCTCACTCCATTGGTGCGGAGAGCTGTAGTAATGGGAGCGAAATCCTTCCGTCTTCGCAGGGTGATCGCTGAGACGTCTGGGAAGATTTGTACCGTGGCGTAATCATCCGGAGGCTTGGGTTTACTTCTGCTGGCTCGGAGGACATGCTCTTTAATGTGATAATAATGGGCACGTAACAGGACATCCCTGGGTGAGGAATCCGACAGGTGGCGTGGGCGCGGCACCCTATGAACTCTGTCAAGCAGCAGCATGTCAGACGGAATCTCGGGAGCGTAAGCGCTTAGCAGGCCTCGCACATAAGCTTGTAGTTCCGCCGGGAGCACTGTTTCGGGTACTCCCCGCAGCCGCAGGTTGTTTCGCCGAGACCTGTCCGCCAGTTTCGTTTCGGTGAGTAGTAGCTTGTCTTCCAGCCTCTCCACATGTGTAGCGAGATTGTTGTGGGCTGCCGCCATTTCGTCTAATTGTGATTCTATGTGCGACGTCCTCTTGCCTATTTCTTGGACATCTTTACGCAGTGAGTCCATGGAGTGCTGCCAGGACCCGATCAGCTTTCGAGACAAGGCTTCCAGTGCTTGAGTTAGGTGGCTTTTTGTCAGGGCATCTCCTGGTGCAGACATGCTCTGTGGGGTACTTTCTTCGTCGGTACCCTCGTCGCCATCTTGGGCAGACGGTAGTAGGCCCGAAGGAGTTAAGTTAGGTTTCTGTTGAAAGAAACTCAATTTTTCAGTTTTTGCTGAGCTCTTCTTGCTTTTATGTTGCGACATCTTCTGTGGTAGGGTTCGTAATGCGTTCTGTGTGGTAGGATTGCAACGGATTGTCAGCCCGTTTGCCGGAGCTGAGGATTATGCGTCCATCTTGTCCGGCAGTCGGCCACGCCCCCCACTATAACCTTTTTAATAAGTTTAAGCAGTTCCATTGCCTACAGTGTCCCTTTGTGTTCTGTGAATCTGATTGTGTGCATGGATTTAGAATTATGCAGATCCCCGTAACAAATTGTGACTTGGTGAAGCAAACTCACTACATTTTAAAAGTGTAATAACAGTTTCCTTTTAATACAATCAATTTCCTTTAAATACAAAGAATCTCACCTAAGATGCAGTTTGGTCATCTAGTCAGAGTAAAACACAGGACAAATGGAATTAATAATAAAAATCAATTTTGGCCAATGTATTTATAGCAATCCAGAGCATTGATTTTTTTTTTTTTTCTTCACATTTATTATTTACATTTGCTGCTTTATATTTATGCCATTGACAACAGAAACTAAAGACTTGCTTACATTCTGCTTTCTTACCAACTGCATGTTTTGCAGTCCAATATGCACAATCAAAATCCATTTATTTCAGTGGGTTTTTAATTCTTATTTCGTAATTATATTTGCACTGCCTGTTGTTAACATCGCTTGATTATTGTTAGCTCCATAACTGGAGGTACTTTTTACATTATGTAATACATTTTCCATAGCAGAATATTCCTTATTATTTCGTTTTGTATTTTCTTTCTACCTTTTTACTTTTTCAACCTATTATGTAATTTTACCTTGAGATTGATCGTAACATCTTATATCTAATGTTTGATGTTTTTCTAATCCTTTCAGGAAAAGACTCTGTGTTGAAGGATAATTCAGATGAAGAACATAACGGTTCCTTTGATGGAATGGACAACATTTCAAAACTACGTAATGCAAAAAAGAACTGTGTGAAGCCATTGAAGAAAAAGGGATGCTGTAGGAAGAATATGGAGCAAACTGTAAAATCTGCAGGTAAAACCATTCAAACAGAAAGAAGAACTGCATGTACAGAGAAGCGCTATCTGTGCATAGACTGCGGGAAAAGCTTCACGCGAAAATCATCCCTCATAGTGCACCAGAGAATTCACACAGGGGAGAAACGATTCATGTGTACAGAGTGCGGGAAGAGATTTGGCCTTAAATCATCCCTTGTTCGACACCTGCGAACTCACACACCAAAGACATTAAATATTTGCCCTGATTGTGGCAAATGCTTCACCCGGTATTCCAGCCTTTTCCAGCACCAGAAGGTCCACAGGAGAGAGAAGCCGTATAAATGTTCTCAGTGTGAAAAATGTTTCCCTCGGCTTTCACAACTTGTAGTCCATCAAAGAACCCACAAAGGAGAGCAACAGCCCAGTCAAACAGAGAATGTCAATGACCTCAACAAAATTTCTAATCGCTCCCGAACCAAGAGGACTGAGAAATCCCCCATGTGTGCCCAGTGTGGTAAGAGCTTCAGAGAGCGCAGCTCACTCATCAGACATCTGAAAACCCATACAGGTGAGTTAGCTCAATATATATTCTTTGATTTGCTTGATGGTCACCTATAATTAATTCAGTATTACTAGAGATACCACTTTTCTTTTATACACTTATCTGCTAATTAAATGTATCAACCGGTTCTGTCACTATGATACCACTAAGAGGTTGTGATCACCTGACATACATATTTTTTGTGAAATTCACTCACTAGAAGGATGAAAGAATATCGCCCAAGGGTGCCTCCCCTGATGGAGATGGGTGGTAAAACCACTCTTCCTGTTCCTCTCATAGTACTATAAGAGCTTATGCTTTTATATTTTTTATACTTATTTCAATAAAGAAGAATTTTCTACTCTACAATCCTGAGTCTGACTCTGTCATCTTTGGAACAGGAGGAGTGGTTTTACCCCCCATCTCCGTCAGGGGTGGCACCCTTGGGCGATATTCTTCCATCCTTCTAGTGAGTGATTTTACACTCATTTAACAGTGTTACACTATTTGTTTTTTTATTCACATTGTAGATCTGCAGCTCTATACTCCTTTTGTTTGCATACGTATGGTATTTAAAGGGATTATTGCTTGGATATCCCTGGAGGAAGCTGTCATCACTATCCATTGAGATCAGTGGTCTTTTTCACTTTCCTATTACATTTAGGTGTTAAGTGATTGTTTCTTTCTTGTATATACGCCACTACATTAACACTGCAATCTGCATAATGCGGTCTCTCTAAAAATGCAATGTTTTCAGCTCTAAGGTCAAGGGGACAGGGACAGGTGCCTATAGTGTCCCTTTAAAACCTAAAGTTTGTTTTGCTTTGAACATATTTTAGAACATGACACGTGTATGATACATGCATAGCTGAAATTAAACCGTACAGCAGCAAATACTTCCTCCAAGATTTGCAATTATTACACAAGTAAGGACCCAAGCACAAAACAAGCAAGATAACAAAAAAATAATGATCACAAATGTAGAATTCTGTCTAAGGTACTTATCACTGATGACAGTGCGTTCCTTTTTTATATTCTATTCTGGAGTGTGAATATTAAAAATACATTTATTTGTTTTTCCTTTGAAACAAGGCGATCACTCCACAGAACATTATTGTTAAAGGACCACTATAGTGCCAGGAAAACAAACTCGTTCTCTGAAACTGCTATGTTTACAGCAGAAAGGGTTAATCCTAGATGGACCTGGCACCCAGATTATATTTTTTTCTGGTTTTAAATACATAACTCCTTTTTATTAATATAGGTTCGGTTTTTCACCATAATAGTAATATCAACTGTTTTTTTTTTTTTCTTTTTTTTTTTTTTTTTTTTTGTCCAGTAAGTGACCAGAATTCTGATGAAAATCCTGATTTAATTAGGACAGATTCCACTATTTGTGAACAAGTTAGCATATGTGAAGTATCACTTAAATCAAATCAGGACAAAAAAGATAAAGGTGCTGTAGAAAAAACAAGCCCAGAAATCACAGAAAATGGTGAGTGTGCAGTGAGCATCTGGGATGGATCAGAAATACCAGACAGGAGAACTTACAGTGGGGAAAAACGCTATTTCTGTATTGACTGTGGGAAAAGCTTCACACGAAAATCCTCCCTTATGGTTCATCAAAGAATCCACACTGGAGAGAAACACTTCATGTGTACAGAGTGCGGCAAGAGATTTGGCCTTAAATCCTCTCTCGTTCGACACCTGAGAACTCACACTCCAAAAACACTAAATATTTGCCCTGATTGTGGCAAGTGCTTCACTCGGTATTCCAGCCTTTTCCAACACCAGAAGGTCCACAGGAGAGAGAAGCCATTTAAGTGTTCTAAGTGTGATAAAGGTTTTGCTCGGGCATCACAGCTTGTATTCCACCAGAGAACACATAAGGAAGAGAAGCAGTCTGAAAAAAGAGAATGTGAGGAGAAAGTTGATGTTCACTCAAGTACCAATAGCCCAGAACATTCCTATATGTGCATGGAGTGTGGTAAGAGCTTCTTCGAGGAGAATTTACTATTGGCACATCAGAAAATTCATAGAGGTAAGTGCTGGGTAGACGTTTGCATGAACATAGAGTAGGAATGACAACTGTTACCCTTTCAGAGAAATATGCTGAAAAATCAATTTTTTTACTGTTGTTACATGAGTTATGCATGGCAGCTCCTCCTTTCGCATGACAAGATCAACTGGTTGGTCAAAATGTTGCCATCTCCACTCTGGTGGAATTAAACTGAGAACCTTGGTGTTACGTCTCCATTATTCTTTGGGGTTCATGGAAAGGATCCTCGTGAACCTGCTCCTGTCTATATAATTGTCTGAAGTGCTGGTCTACTTCTTTTTGTTCTAGATTCCCCTTAAAGGCCTATTTCAGTATCCAGTGGATTAAGAAAGAAGCTAAAAGAATTGAAGGATGCACTTCCTTCAATAGCAAGATAGCTAAAAAGATACAATACGTTTCCATGATTATTTAACAAGTATACAAGGCTGTTAGTGGGTGGTAGGATAGCAGATCCCTAGCCTACAGTCATGCTAGATATGTGCAAAATGTGTTCGGAAGCTTTGGTCATCTTTCTACTTGCCTTTCGTCCTCTTATCAGCAATGTATATTTGCTACATTTTCAAATATACGTTAAAGGGTTACTCCAACCATCAAGATCACTTCTGCTTTTTGAAGTGGTCATGGTGGTATGAGTCTGGATTTGCAGATGTGCATAAAGAATGTATGAGGGTTAGAGTAACCCTTTAATACAGATGTGATCTTTGCAAGTATTGTGCTGTGTATCATTGCTCAGCTAGAGTGCTGTTTGTCCCCGCCCCATCTTTGCATCTTTCTTCTCAGATACCCTAAATGTTAATGTTTAATGTTCCACTAAATCATCTGGCTCCCTGCATTTTTCCAACAGTAGTTCTTAAAAGAGTTGAATTATTAATATCCAAGGGAAGATTCAATTCTTTCACTGTAAGGCTAGTTTTAGGCATTGTTGCTGCATGTAAAAAGTTTGGCTTGTATGCGTGGAATATCATTGTCTTATTTTATGAGATTTAAACCGCAACCACAATATAAAAAAAAAAAAACTTAAATTGTTCTTTTATTCTTTAAGTAAATTTTGGGGTTATTTTTCACATTGTATGATATAACAAGATTGCAATGCGCTTCTATATTCCAGCTGATTGTAAATCACTTACAATCTGTGAAGGTGGAGCGCCTGATGACAGGCCTGATCTTCTAGACCGGGAGACAGAATATGTTGCCAAGTCTTTTCTTGTGGAAGATCATTACATGGATCCTCAAATCCCCGAATCAGTGAACACCAACGCAGGCTTGGTCTCTGGCGAATTAAATAAAGACAGTGAGTTTCCTGTTGATTCCAAGGTCAAATCGTGCAGGAGAAGCCGCAGTGCTGACAAGCGCTATAATTGTAGTGACTGTGGGAAAAGCTTCACAAGAAGGTCCTCGCTCATTGTTCACCAGAGAATACACACAGGGGAGAAGCGCTTTGTGTGCGCAGAGTGTGGGAAAAGGTTTGGTCTCAAATCATCTCTCGTCAGGCACATGAGAACTCACAATGGTCATGCACTCAATATCTGCTCTGAATGTGGTATCTACTTTAGTAGATATTCAGACCTTCTGCTGCACTTGGAAATACATGTTGGTGAGTAACCTTTTTTTTCAATTTGTACTTTATTGAGTTTTTCATAACAATTGGGGTACAGAAAGGAAGAGGGGCAGGTGGGTAAAAGGTAAAAGACAAGTGATACCACAATACAGCTCAACTTACAGTGTCAGCATATTTCAGAACTGGTAAGTCCTGAGTTTGTATTTATAGCGTTTTAGTTATATACCATACCCAACAGTGTAGTGTTACAGGTGCGTGTGCTATCTAGAAACGACTCCTGGCCAAGGTGCACATCTGCAGAATTACCCGGAGGGTGTTCCTCCGTCTAGGGTTGGGCAATTCGACCTTACAATCAAGGGTTGTCAAGGGTGGTCACTCTTTGGTCATTGTTGCTGCTGATTATACATATGTTGCTGCCTAGTATGCATATGTTTACTTGAGTTGCTCCCTATTATCCTGAGGTTAGCTATACTGTTCCTCCCTTCTACCTGGTGGTCCAGTGCTTGTGTGGAATGCAAGTTCAAAGCTATAATACTGACTATGGTACTGCCATTGGGTCAAAAGTTATCCATTTATGCCAGTTATTGTTTGTGGCAATCTTATGTTTGGGCGTAGCTGTGGACAATTGCTCATACCTAAGGTACTGTCGTATTTTACTATATAATAGTTGTGACGGTGGACATTCTTTCTGCTTCCAGTGATATGCTAGAAGATTACGTGCTGCCATGATTACCATAATCATTAGTTGTCTGTCCTGGTAAGGGGTGGTCATAGGTATCAGAAGAAATAGACCTATCTCAGGTGTGATCTTACCCCGGAGGACCCCTAAGGAATTACAGATCGTCTGGACCTCTGTCCATAACGGTTGTATATTCGGGCAGTGCCACCATATGTGGCTCATTGTGCCCCTGTCCTGTTCGCACCTCCAACATTGTGCTGAGGATAGTGGATATATTTTGTTAAGTTTATCCGGTGTGAGGTACCATCTAAAGATTAATTTTTTGTGTGCTTCTACATGTGAGTACCAGGATGTGATACCTTTAAGCGCTAGGATTGATCTCAACCACTGATCTTTAGGAAAGCGAATAGCTTGCTCCCTATTCCACTGTGCCATAAAGGAGAAGTCTGGCATTGTGTTATTGGGTCTTAGGGCTGCATAGCTGAGGGACAGGGATCTGGCCTTGATTGGGGCCGTACGGCATCTGTCATACAGTGCCAACCTTTCTGTGTTGAGGTTGTCTGCAGGTTGTGTTGTGAGCAGTACTCGCTCTTTGATTATGCTATTTAGTTGAACATATGGGAAGATGAAGGATGGTGGGAGGTTGTTTGCAGTTTGTAAATCTGGGAAGGGTATGATGTCCCTTTGTGAACATAGGTTAGTAATATTGGTAATTCCCAGTGCTGACCATTTTGCGAACGATAACCACGGAGATATAAACTGTAGTGCCTCTATGGGTGCCCATTTTAGGAATTTGTTGTTAGTCGCTTGCAAGCGGTGTAATTGGTCCCAAACTTGTATGGTGGTCCTAGTAAGGGGCAATAGTGCTTGGGATTTGTCTCGTAGCTGTTTAGGTGTCCACATATAGTGTATAGCTGAGCTTCCTGTACCATATTCATTCTCCATGTCGACCCACTGTAGTGTGTTTTTTGGGGCATGCAGTTTAATAGCTGCTTCTAGTACTGCGGCCTTGTGGTACAGTAGAACATTAGGGAAACCCAATCCTCCCAACTTAACCGGGGTTTGCAGCACGGATAGGGGAATGCGGGTTTTTTTTGTTTTCCCACACAAAAACCGATAACAGTTTCTGGATTTGAGTGCTCAGCGAGGGTGAGAGAGGTAGTGGTAACATTCTGAAAACATATAGTATTTTCGGTAGTATCATCATTTTGACAGTATTTATCCTGCCTAACCATGTGATTTTGCACATCTTTCCATTTATGTAAAAGTTGTTTACACATTTGAGGGAGTGTAGATATGTTATGCATGGCTGTTCTCCTGGGAGAAGTAGCAATTTTGACCCCTAAGTATGTGATGTGAGAGTGTCTCCAGTCGAAGGGGAAGTGGGTTTGCAACGTATCTACAGTTGTGGTCGGCAGTCGAATTGGGAGTGCTTGGGTCTTAGTTTGGTTCAGTTTGTAATACGAGATTTGTCCAAAGTCATGTAAAGTGCGCATGAGATGCGGTAGGGATTGCGTGGGCTGAGTCAGGGATACTAGGACATCATCCGCAAACATGGCCAACTTGTATTCCTCCTTCTGTATCTGTATGCCCCTGATGTTTGTGTTCTTGCGGATTGTGCATGCTAGCGGTTCAAGGGATAACACAAACAACAGGGGGGACAGCGGGCACCCCTGGCGTGTGCCGTTTGTGATTTTAAAGGGGTTCAATAAGAAGCCACCGCTGGAGACTTTGGCTGCCGGACTAGAATACAGGGCCAAGACGCCCGTAATAAATGGTGCGGGGAAGCCAAATTTTAGGAGAACTTGCTCCATGTATCTCCAATTCAGTCTGTCGTAGGCCTTCTCTGCGTCCAGCGCCAGTAGAAGACCTTCCATGTTATTGTTTTCCATATGGGCCAGTATGTTGAGGATTTTCCTCGTGTTGTCCGACCCCTGTCTATTCTTAACGAAACCCGATTGGTCGTTATGCGTTATTCGGGTGAGGATGTCTTTCAAGCGTTCGGCCAGGGCTTTAGCGTAGATTTTCGTATCGCTATTGAGGAGGGAAATTGGGCGGAAATTTTGGCATTGGTTTGCTGGTTTTCCAGGTTTGGGCAGTGTGGAGATATGTGCTAGTAGCATGTCCGGGGGCATAGACCCGGTGTCAAAACAGTGATTTAAGAGGTCTGTTAGGTGAGGCAATAGCAGGTCGGAAAAGGTCTGATAATATACATTAGTGAAGCCATCCGGACCTGGGGATTTGTGAGCGGGCAGTTTTTTTATGATGTTCAGTATTTCTGCGCTAGTGATGGGGCGGGTAAGGGCCTCTATTTCTGCTTCCGTGAGTGTAGGTAAGTCAATGCCTGCTAGGAAGTGCTGAATTTGAGTTCCCGAGGGGACGTGAGTAGACTCTTGTTTCTCTAAATTGTAAAGGGAGCTGTAATAGTTTGCGAATTCTTCCACAATGTCTTGTGGGTTCATCAGTTTGCGCTTATCTGAGGATAAGAGAAATTCCACTCGTGAGTGGGTAGTACGCGCTTTTAGTTTGGAGGCGAGGATTTTCCCTGATTTGTTGCCTTGCGCAAAAAATTTGTGTCTATATCTGTGTAGCATATGATTGGTTTTGTTTAGTTACACCTCATTGAGCTGGGTTTGTAGTGTTCAAAGCTTGTCATATTGGGGTTGTGTGGGGTTTTGTTTATTGGCGTGCGTGATGGCCATGATTTGTTGGAGAAGGTTATCATACGTGGCCTTTCTTAGCTTTTTGGCATAGCAGCCATGTTTGATCAGCGAGCCCCTGATGACCGCCTTATGAGCTTGCCATATCGTGTCAGCAGTTGAGTCTCCTGAGCAATTTACGTCAAAGTACATTTTAATGTCGTCTCTAATGTGTTGGACAATCTGTGGATCTTTTAATAAGGATTCGTTGAGTCTCCAGGACCCTTGGCCTCTATGTGGAAATTTCTCTGTTATCGTCAGGGTTATGGGTGCATGGTCTGACCATGTGATCTGTCCAATGCTCGTTCTTTGTACTATCGGAGTTAAGGATTGAGGGATCAGGAATCTATCGATCCTGGAGTAGGAGTTGTGCGCCTGGGAGTGGAAAGTGAAATCCTTTTCAGAAGGGTGTAGCACTCTCCAGATGTCTAATAGGCCTGCTTTGTGTATGTGACTCCTAACCTGGTGCGTAATGGCGGATCTTTTCTTAGCGGTGGCGTGTGACACTGTGGTGTTTGATGTAGTGTCTAGATTGCTATCTAGAAGAAAGTTCGTGTCTCCCCCTATAATCAGTTTACCATATGTATGTGTTTGGTTGAGCATAATTATTTTGTCTAGGAATATACCTTGGTTATCGTGAGGGCCATAGACATTTAGAAGCGTGTACGGTTCGTTATTAATCTGACATTGTACTAAAAGATATCTCCCTTCTTTGTCCCCTATTTTCTTATGAAGCGTGAAGGAGATATCCTTACTGATCAAGATAGATACGCCTCTCTTCTTTTTAGTGTATCCTACATGATACCCAGTGGGGTAGAATTTAGACGAGAATCTAGGCATTTTGTTTCTGAGAAAATGGGTTTCTTGGTAGAAAGCTACGTGGGCTCGTAGTTTCTTTGTTTCAGCTAGAGCTAATCTCCTTTTATGAGGTGAATTAAGCCCTTTAGTATTGAGCGATAAAATGGTTAGAGCCATTTGCGTGGTACACTGATGCTATCTTGAATTCTGTTATGTGCATATCGCACCAAGTTGTAAATTATTAGCTTAGAGTGATATCCTTGTCTTGGTATTTGTACGATAAGAGGCAAGGTGTATTGTCTTTTTTTTTTTGTGCTTTCACTCTAATCAAGGATGTTTCTGGCGGGTACCCTGCTATAAGTGAACTCGGAGGAGAGGGAAGGGGGGGAGGGTAGATAGCCAAGTGGCAACTATATACAACATGGAGTACAGACGTGTTCCGTCTGTGAACGAGAGCTGATCTCGCGGCTTAATAGAGCCAAAGTGGGGGAGGGTGTTCATGAGGTTTGAGAAACTGCCCATTACACTTGTGACATCTTACATTTGATGATGGGAATGGTACGCAGGTTGGCTACGTACGATGCCACGCCCACCCATAACATTCTCATCTGGTAAGATGACATAAAAGTAATAATAATAAAAAAAAAGGCATAAATGCTACATATAACAAATCAACAGCTGCAATCATGTATATATATGCTCACGCATCCCTATGACTGTGAACCAGGTCCATGGTAGAGAGCGGCAATCGCAAAGATGTTGGGTTCTCGTGACTCAGTCCTTGTCACTTGTGCTTAGACATTGACATCCATTCCTTGGACACTTTTGTAGGCGACTTGCGTTGCTTGTTGGGCGGGTCTGCGATCTCTTGGGGTGCTACGGGCATGTTCCAATCTTTGAGCAGTTGGATGCCTTCTCTGACAGTATGGATTTGGTGCTCCACTCCGTTCTTCCTGACAATAATCCAAATGGGGTAGCCCCATTTGTAAGGCATATCAGCGTTCCTCAGCGCTTTGGTGATCGATGCCATCTCTTTGCGTTTAGCTAGTGTCGTTGCCGACAGATCTGTGAAGAGTTGGATGCCCTTATATTCCTCTGGGATGTTATCCCTGTGCCTTGCTGCTTTCATGACACTTTCTTTAGAAGTGAAATAATGTACTCTAGTGAGTACGTCTCTTGGCACGGAGGCTGCAAGGAAGCGTGGTTTGGGAAGCCTGTGTATGCGATCCAAACGTAGGTCTGCCTCCGCAAGCTCTGGGCACAGTGCTTTAAATAGTTTTATAGTGAAATCTTGTAAGTCCGCTGGCTTAATATCCTCCGATATGCCGCGCAGGCGTATATTGTTCCTTCTGCCGCGATCCTCCTGGTCCGCCACTTTTGCGATCAAAGTGTCGATTTTAGCACCAAAGGAGTCATAGGCCTCTACTAGGTTATTATGGGCCTCAATGATTTCTTCAGTTTTTTCTTCTAGTATAGATGTACGCTCCCCTATGGCTTGGACATCAGCCCTAACATCTCGGGCAAGCTTGCTGAATTCGTTTTGTAGATTGTGTTGCAGTTCCTGCAGCATTCTATGTAGTGGGTGCTGAATTCCCCTGGGAGATAGAAGTGCTGTCGCTCCGGTCGGAGCATGCTGCTGGTGATGTATGGCCTCCGCCGCCATCTTGGGCCCGATTCCTGGGTGGCGTGAGCGATGTTATCTGTAGCTCTGCCGGGCGTAGTTTAGTTTTTTTCGCTGTCCGTAAGGACATTGTCGGTCTGTGGTGCTTACCGCTCAGTTTGCGTGCTGGTAAGGCAGTTTATGCTCGTCTATTTGCGGTGTGAGTAGTCACCCTCGTCGGAGCTGGGAGCTCACGCGTCCATGTTCGCGCGCTGCCAGGCCACGCCAGCAGTCATTTATTTTTTATTGTTTTTAAGATGATTTAAATGTAGATAACAACACCATTTCTGGTGTATAAATTATGTTGTAGTCCAGTATTTTATCCACCTTAATTTGAACCTCTCCCAAGAGTTCCCTGATAACAGGGCATTTCCACCATATCTGCAAAAAAATCTGCTTCCTGTTTTCCACATTTCCAACAAGCAGTTGAAGCATTTGGGTATATTGTTTTGATTTTTTTGAGGAGTTAGGTACCACCTGTTAAGTAGTTTAAATTGCAGTTCATTTAGATTTAATCTGGAGTTCTTCTTTATATTAATCATTGAGGATTTTCTTCCAATCTATACATTTGCTAGCAAATCTTCTAGCACTATGTAAAACCAGAATGTTTTACTTGTTTATAAGAGCATAAATCATTATGGGGAAAAACCAGTACCATTCAAACTTTGTCCATTCTTTGGATGGAGAATTAAAATTCTACCAGTGTCATGTTGCCTACTGTCTTGAATCAATTCTTTGTTTAAAATGCTTGGATTTAGTTACACTTATTCGATACCAGGGACATTGAAGATGTCTACAGCATTCGGCACTGGGTGCCGTGAAGTGTATTGATATTGGACACCATTGTGATTAAAGTTTCTTTAGTCGTTGTGTACTACAACATATAAACATCAGATCTTAGCACATTTCAGTATTTGTTTTTTAATTTCCTGGTAAATCCATGGCAGTATTATATTTGTGTTCACTCCCATGCTCATTCTCCAGTCCTATGCCGACTGTTTTAAAAGAAAACAACTAGAAAAACTACAATCAAACCACAACTGGGTGGGACGCATACAATGACGCCATTTAGGATAGTCTTTGTAGGATAAGAAAGAAGGCGAAACATAATTTAATTAAGTTCTCATTTTCTTTGTAAGCATGGAGAGCAACTATGTAATATAATAAAGTACTACACAGTTTATAATGTCATATTTATTATTGCTACTTAGCTACTTAATTACCAGTAAAGGTTTGAAGTCAAGCAAGAATACAATATGTAATTAGACCGCAAGGTGCAGAAGGAATGGAGAGCATTGCCCTATGAGTTTAACACCTAGATTTCTTAATACTTTTATAAAATGCTATCATGATTGCCTGAAAGCCTTCGGTCTAAAGAAGATAATTGAGTGTCAGACAAAGGGTATCAAGTTTTAATTCAAATTTGGACAGTGACAAACTGCCAGTAGGTACTTTTTTTTGCCATAAGATGTTAAAGGCAGGTGAGTTGCATAGACAGTTCCACAGTGGAAGGTTAGTAGGATGTTGTTACATGCAGATAACGGTAATAAACTTTCAGTGCTTTTTCAAGGGGGATTATCTTTAGGTAAATACCTGTCTGGTTCCAGCTGAATTCTTCAGTCTCCGAACCAATAATATCCTATGGCATTAATATATAGTATAATGATTTTTGAAAAATACAAATAAATACATTTACTGATATTCTGGCTTTTATAAATATGATGTTCAGAAGGACATGATGAAACAATTCATTAAATTGAAAGTTTTGGGGGTACGTGGCCTGGAGATCGAGCTGCATGGAAGCAACTCTGTAAGGCTCCCGTCTCCCGCACTGCAGAGCCGCAAATAACCGGACAAACTAGGGAAGCCTGACCTGTAAAGCACGGACAAGGTACCCCAAAGTCGCAGAAGTCCAAAGGAAAGCTGCGAAAGCCGACCGCACCTCTTTTTTTCATTGAAGCCCCGTGAAGGCCACACTCCCTCCCAAGATGGCGGCGGAGCCCAATCCAGAGAGGGATCTCCCTCCCCTCCTGCCTCCGCAAGCTCCTACACGGAGGACAGCCCACTTACCACACCTGCTATGAGAGCCATGATGGCTGAATTTTCAGCAAATATTCAAGTGACCATCACAACTCAGATGCACAACCTGGCTGCTGAACTTTATAAAGAAATTTAAGATATTGGAGCACGAACTGCACACTTTGAAAATTAAATGGATGAGTTTGCCACTGCCCACAACAGTCTGGCTGACCAGTTACAGGAGCTTGACGACCTGATAGCTTGGATCTTCAGTCCTACTTCATGGACTTGTTTCAGTTGTTTACACCTGCAATCCATCCAGATCAATTTATAATGGATAGAACTCACCGACTACACAGACCAAAACACCTACTCGAAACAGCCCTTAGGAACGTGATCTCTCCGTGTCAACACCGTAATTCTGAAATTCCCTGTCACTGGTTACGCTAGCCCTCTATATATAATAATCTAATCTACACGGACCACCAAACCTATTCCCCAACTGCCCAAGACATAAATAATTTCCTAGAATCTATTTGCCAATACAGACTTACCCCTACACAACAACAGTCCATCCTCAAACTTATATCATTGCAAGAGGTGCTCGACACCATAGACCATCTGCCCACTAGTAAATCACAGGCGCCGATGGCCTTACAAGCCTTTACTATAAATTGTTTAGAGATCATTTAGCACCCTACCTCCTTAAGGTATTTCAAGCAGCGACAGAACTAGGCTCACTACCAAAGAACAAGCTCCTAGCCACCATTGGCACCATACCTAAAACATACAAAACTCCAGACTCCTGTAAAAACATCTGACCTATCTCGCTGCTTAACATGGATGCAAACATATTATGCCAAAATATTAGCGCAGAGAATTGGGACACTACTCCCTTCCTTGGTCCATGATGATCAAACTGGGTTCGTGATGGGGAGACAGGGTCTGGACAATACCCACAAACTATCATTGATACTGAATGAGCTCAGAGGGATCGGCTGAGGCGAACTGTTGCTAGCCTTAGATCCAGAAAAAGTATTTGTCTCGGCTTGTCCTTCTTGCGTCAGGTGCTGGGGAGATATGGCAGGAGGTAATCGACCGAATCTTTGCACTTTACTCCAACCCAACAGCACAGGTCCAACAACTAGCTTTCTGCCCTCGCCCTTCCCAGTGTCTAATGGAACGAGACAAGGGTGCCCCCTCTCCTCTATGTACTTGCGGTCAAACCCCTCTCACAAGCTATTTATTTGAGACAACAAAAACATAAAAGGTGTGCAAATGTCTGGGAGGGAGGTAAAGATTAGTGCGTTCAAAGATGACATCCTCTTATACATTACTCAACTCCAAGAATCCCTACCTGTTCTGATGTCCCTAATAGAGGAATATGGCAAAGTATTCTACTATTCTCTCAATACCACCAAGTTGTAGGCCATGGGCATAGGGCTCCCTCAACTTTTACTGAACTCCTTGCGACACAACTTTTCCTTTGAGTGGCGTAAGAACTCCCATTAAATATTTAGGCCTGACAATAATGAAAAACCCTACAGACTTATAATCGGCCAATTATATCTCCACTTGGAATAAATGCCGCTCTCTGTTGCACAAATGGTCACCTTTATTTTTGTCTTAGTCTGAACGCATAACAGTGAAAATGTCAATACTCCCCAGGCTTCAATACTTATTTCGGACACTCCCAATTGAACTATCTCTGACGTACCTCAAAACGACCCAAGTGGAGCTTATGAAATTTATCTGGCCGGGAGGCAGATCCAGAGTAGCAAGGAGCCTCATGCAAATTGGTGAATTGGCAGTCCCTAACATACAGACCTACTATCATCTTGGGGACCTCTATACCCCACTTCCTCACCCACCCAAACCCCCAATGTGTCTCCTTAGAAAATAAACTCTTGCACACAACAGACCTATCTACTCTAATGTGGATAACTAAATCATATCGACCACAGATGCAGTCACCACCCCCCACACCAAGCTCTTCCTCAAAGTCTGGGATAAATATAAACCTAAACTGTGTGGGGACAAAGAGCTATCACTTGCAACCTCGATATTCGCTCTACCATACAGGATCCCGACTTTCCATGCTAAACCCTGGCACCAACGTGGAGCCACACACCTATTCCACCTCTACGACAATAGCACTATGTTAGATTTTCAGACGCTCCAGGCCTCATACACACTACCGAATGCCTCCCAATATTCATACCTCCAACTACAATCACTCTTGAAGAGATACATTACACGAGAGGCAGATGATATCATGTCTACACACACTATAACACAGTGAGAACAAATGTGTATTAACAAAAGGATGATACCTCATTGTTAGCTGATCTCTATGTATTATAAACTAATCCCAGACCACGTACCCATCTCTGCATCCAAACCAGCACTAAATTAGGAGCAAGACCTCCATTGTACCATACTCCTGAAACAATGGGAACGTATACTTCAGATGACCAAGGGCCTAATTAAGCCCTCGGCCCATATTGAACAACAAATTAAAATGTTGTACCGCTGGTACATGGTGCCAATAAGATTAAGTGCTGGAGACGCGACCTCCTGGAAGGCTCCATGTTACACATATGGTGGCAATGCACAATCATCACTCCATATTGGAAAAAGATCCAATCCCTAATACGAGCAGTAGTAGACTACACGCTCCCATCTGAACCCTTGCAATTCCTCCTTCTAGATCTCCCACCAGACTTGCATCAAGGGCAACAAGAAACTGGAACTCTACATCCTGCTGTCCGCCCAAAAACTAATAGCAACAGCCTGGAAATCCCCCAAGGCACCAACCGTACGAGAATTGATAAATGCCCTCGACAAACAACGTCTCTATGAGAAAGGCTTTATGTAGCTCTTTCCCCCATCTAAACCTTGCCAAGTGGCCTGGGAGATGTGGGACACATTGAGATCGGATAACCCTTGACTATGTAACCTTGTAATCCTGCTATATAACCTAAGACATACAAATACATTCCTGGTATACCTGTTTAAAACCATACCCACCATGCCTCGACTGAACTCCTGGCTAAGAGGCCCACAAACATGAACAGAGTACTGTCCAATATCTGGGCCTCCGCCTTAAGTACTTAGCCCTATTGGTCTCTACCCTAACGATAATCCCAATAGAGAAATAGGATGGATAACCATGTCGTACCATATACCAGCACACACTACCCACACATGTAACCGAAGGTACCCACATGCACCCTCTTCCCGATAGCGAGATCTCCAATCCACAACGCATGTCCAAGATTCACACACACCAGCACCACAGGCCACATATCTATGGCTTACCTCGTTAACTACCCCACAGGTCTCACAACCCTAGAAATGTAGACATGCTGGACGTTGTTAATACCCCACTGATCTTTATTGCTTGGGCTGTTCAAATGATATATCTATGCCTCTCAGATGTGATTAGATGTGAAAAATATTTGCTGTGCTGTAATACACACTGTTGCGTTCCCCCCTCCCCCTCTTTTTCCTTTTGTATCCCTTTCCCCATACATTACCAAAATTATTACACTTTTTTTTTATTTATTTTTTTTAAATTGCCAGTTTTGTCATTTGTCTTTTTTATTTTTATTTTACTCAATTTATTTTACTCAAGTGTTTGGCTATATTTTGCTCAAAGTATATTTGTTATTTCTCCACTGTTTCCGATTTATAAACTATCCCCAGGTCATGCCATGATAAGGCACCTATTTTTAGGAAGGATTACACTGTTATTGCATTTTGTACATTGTTGAATCCCATCTTTCAGTAGATTTGGGATGTGTTTTACCTAACCGGCATACATGAGCCCCGTGCCATCTAATTTTCCACCACACACATGTGCAGCCTCCATAGTGTCTCCAGGACTGTAAAGAATATAATCAAAAATCATAGTTTAATGTGAGGTGTGTAAGGGCTAGATTAGTATAATTAAGTTTGCTTAACCCCTTAAGGACCAAGATTCTGGAATAAAATGGAATCCTTAAGGGGTTAAATAGGATTATTTCTAATTCTGTGCAATATTATGACCTATTTAAAAATGTGACTCACTTATTAAATGAGTTCAGACAATAATAATGTGACCCGATACACACCCGCTGGAAATACGATAATAAGAAATAAGGTCAGATGTTAGTCATGTACTTAATGGACTATGCCAGGCATCTAAACAATGCTCGTGCATGCTTAATATGAAATAATTTTCTTCAATTACTATACATATTGGAAGTTGTCTGGGTTATCCTACAACATGCAACAGCCAGCTCCTCCTTTAACTTTAACTTTAATTTCCCAAAAAATATAATCTACTAAAATATATTTACATATGAAAGATTGATCACTTACAACATTGTTTCTGTTGTTTTGTCTCTATAGGAATACTATAGGGTTAGGAATACAAATGTGTATTCCGGACCCTATAGTGTTAAAAACACTATTTAGGTTTCTGGCCTCCCTTAAATCAGATTAAAACATACCTTGATTCCTGCGTCACACAGGTCCAACAGCGCTAGCTCCTCCCCCACTCCGCCTCCTTGGGTGAGATCATCAGTATTGACGATTTCAGCCAATATAATATGACAGAGCTCCAGTACCTCTGTCAAATGCGCTGCTTCGTAGCTATCAGGGATCTTGGTGAACTTTAGACCTAGTAGCTGAGGCTTGATTGGGATTGCTCAGGGCCTTGTCCTTCCTGTGTCAGGCTACTAGGATTATAGCCCTGGACACTCTTTTCATCAGCAGAGCAGTAATCTGAGCTCTTTTCCCAAACACCAGATGACACTTGGTGAAGGTTAAAACAACTAACTTTAATACACATAGCGCACACATTTATGCCCCCAAAAGCCTAATTTACATACAATAGGGTGAATAGAGCACTATAGCTCCACTGAGCTGAACTACCAGGAAGAAACACATCCTGGGTGTTTGATTGGAATACACAAATTTACTCTGTGCAGAAAGCTCTAATAGGATACTCCCTGAACATACTGGTACCTGAAAATAAAAAGGAATGTCACACAATGTCACAATTACCTTGTAATTAATGAGGCAATCTCTTTTGATATGCTAATGGCCATTAGCTTTGTTCCAGTATAATTTCCAACGAGAAACATTCATATTTACCCCACAAAATAATAATTAAGCCTAATTCTTCTTATATTTGGAATGTGACAAGTGCCATCTTCTAAACAAGCCCAGACATGAGTGGCTTGACTTGACCAAGGGAAAGGAATGGTGATGTCCGTCCTATTGGATCGTGGGTTAGGTGTTTTGTATGCACTGTGACTTTTTTTTTTGCTCATAATAAACATTAATTTATTAAGTTCTGCCTTTGTTTTAATAATCATGTTACCTGAAGAGACTAATTAGTATTTTGCAATTACATAGCTATTGTGCTAAGGTATACAGGGAGTGCAGAATTATTAGGCAAATGAGTATTTTGACCACATCATCCTCTTTATGCATGTTGTCTTACTCCAAGCTGTATAGGCTCGAAAGCCTACTACCAATTAAGCATATTAGGTGATGTGCATCTCTGTAATGAGAAGGGGTGTGGTCTAATGACATCAACACCCTATATCAGGTGTGCATAATTATTAGGCAACTTCCTTTCCTTTGGCAAAATGGGTCAAAAGAAGGACTTGACAGGCTCAGAAAAGTCAAAAATAGTGAGATATCTTGCAGAGGGATGCAGCACTCTTAAAATTGCAAAGCTTCTGAAGCGTGATCATCGAACAATCAAGCGTTTCATTCAAAATAGTCAACAGGGTCGCAAGAAGCGTGTGGAAAAACCAAGGCGCAAAATAACTGCCCATGAACTGAGAAAAGTCAAGCGTGCAGCTGCCACGATGCCACTTGCCACCAGTTTGGCCATATTTCAGAGCTGCAACATCACTGGAGTGCCCAAAAGCACAAGGTGTGCAATACTCAGAGACATGGCCAAGGTAAGAAAGGCTGAAAGACGACCACCACTGAACAAGACACACAAGCTGAAACGTCAAGACTGGGCCAAGAAATATCTCAAGACTGATTTTTCTAAGGTTTTATGGACTGATGAAATGAGAGTGAGTCTTGATGGGCCAGATGGATGGGCCCGTGGCTGGATTGGTAAAGGGCAGAGAGCTCCAGTCCGACTCAGACACCAGCAAGGTGGAGGTGGAGTACTGGTTTGGGCTGGTATCATCAAAGATGAGCTTGTGGGGCCTTTTCGGGTTGAGGATGGAGTCAAGCTCAACTCCCAGTCCTACTGCCAGTTCCTGGAAGACACCTTCTTCAAGCAGTGGTACAGGAAGAAGTCTGCATCCTTCAAGAAAAACATGATTTTCATGCAGGACAATGCTCCATCACACGCGTCCAAGTACTCCACAGCGTGGCTGGCAAGAAAGGGTATAAAAGAAGAAAATCTAATGACATGGCCTCCTTGTTCACCTGATCTGAACCCCATTGAGAACCTGTGGTCCATCATCAAATGTGAGATTTACAAGGAGGGAAAACAGTACACCTCTCTGAACAGTGTCTGGGAGGCTGTGGTTGCTGCTGCACGCAATGTTGATGGTGAACAGATCAAAACACTGACAGAATCCATGGATGGCAGGCTTTTGAGTGTCCTTGCAAAGAAAGGTGGCTATATTGGTCACTGATTTGTTTTTGTTTTGTTTTTGAATGTCAGAAATGTATATTTGTGAATGTTGAGATGTTATATTGGTTTCACTGGTAATAATAAATAATTGAAATGGGTATATATTTGTTTTTTGTTAAGTTGCCTAATAATTATGCACAGTAATAGTCACCTGCACACACAGATATCCCCCTAACATAGCTATAACTAAAAACAAACTAAAAACTACTTCCAAAAATATTCAGCTTTGATATTAATGAGTTTTTTGGGTTCATTGAGAACATGGTTGTTGTTCAATAATAAAATTAATCCTCAAAAATACAACTTGTCTAATAATTCTGCACTCCCTGTATTTGGTGTGGTTTTTTTATTGATTTACCTGGTCGACCAAGGCACCCCATTTATAAATTGTCTTTGTGGTGGCAGCATTAACATAGTAATAGTTATATTATTATGTTTAAGTGTGGGTGGTGTTAAGGTGGATTTTGTCATTATTTCCGGTCTAGTGCAGACAAATCGTGAACTGTAACCCTTTCACTACCACAACTACATCACGCACACTCTCTTGGAGTGTGGTGCATTTGTGACACAGGGTACTATTGGCTTGTATGAGGCGTACCCTGAGTGGGGCTGACCATTTTTGCTTACTTACCCCCTAAAAATAAATGAAGTGTTTGCAGTGTTGTGCAGCAAGTATTGATCTGTACCATTTTCCTATATGTTCTACATGCATATGCATGTACAAGTAGAATTTTTCCATTATTCACATTCACAAGTTACATATTGGAAATAATTGAATTTTGGAATTGCATTCAATGTCAGGCTGTGTCATGATCGTCTTGCATTGATGCAAAAATATTTTTTTATAAAAATGCTTCTAAGCTACATTGTAGTTAAACGTTAGTTTAGCTTCCCTAGACAGTTTCTGTGTCCTTTTTAAATCCAGTAACTTTCAGAGATGTCGTTAATTCTCTACATCTTTTGTAAGCATGTCTTGGATTTTCACTGGCAAATTTTCACTTTTCATCTGGTTTTTTGTTTGTTTGTCTTGCAGGCCAACCACAAACAAAATCTGACGGCACAATATCTGAAATGCATTCTGAAAAAAGCCCAAACCTCCCCGATCTAGATTTGAGTGTAGATAAGGTCTTGGGATGTATGCCTTTACTGAAACATCCAGATTCATGTCTTTTAACTAAGGACCAAGGATCTGACAGTGAGGGGTTCCTACAGAAGAACCAACAGCAACAGCCTGTTGCATCTGAAAATGTGCATAATTATTTGGATACAGAATGTGCTGAGTCAGATGAACAAACAGCAGATGATGTACTGGACCAGGAATCACTGAACATTAAACAGGAATCCCCTGAGAACACTAGTACAGGTGAGTAGTGCACATAATGTCATCAGTGTATACACATCTATAGTGGAAGCAAGCTATTATATAGTACATAATTCTCAGTAAGGTATAAAATTAAATTAATGTAACTTTTTTTTATTTCTCTGGTTTCCCTGAACATAGATTTGCAGGATTCCATGCCCTAGTGAACTGATCTATGTTCAGGGGAATTCCCCTGAACATAGACCTGCTTTCTAGCACACGTTTTTTCCCCAAAATAAGACCTCCCCTCCAAAAAAGCCCTATTGCATTTTTCGGGGAAACACGGTAATAGTCAAATCCTTGGCATACTTACCAGGGCTTCATTTGCCAATGGTTAGTGGATATTATAAGCCCTGCTTTAGGTGCTATATAGATTAACTCATCGTCCCATTCTTTAGTTTCTGTTTCACATTGTCCACATAGGTTAACCATTATGTGCACACAAATAGTAAAAAAAGTTATTTAACATTTAAATGGCAAAGAATTGTGTAGTGAGACTGCAGGGGCATGATCTATACAACTAAATTGCTTAACTAAGCTAATGATCTTTGGTGTTTAGAGTATCAATTTGATCACTTTAAAGCAGCTTTCAGCTTTCCTTGTTAGTTGTAACTGCCTTTTGCAGGATCTACAGAATATGCGTGGCATATACAATTGCTGATTACTGAGACAAATTTTAATAGTGATTTTTTTTCTCTGATTCAGGTAGTGAAGGACACCAAGATGGAGACAAAATTGAAGACTTTCCCTCTTACCCTTACTCACTTGACTGGGGGGTTGAATTTGACATTTCAAAGTCTTTTAATGGAGATGAAAACTCTACAAAGCTACAGAAACATAGGAAGAGTAAGGAAAATCATACAGAGAATCCTAGCACAGATGGAACGGAGAACAGTGACTTTGGAATAAGTGTTTGGAATAGTTCCGATTTTGTAGACAAGAGAAGTCATAGCGAGGAGAAGCGCTATCTGTGCATTGACTGCGGAAAAAGCTTCACACGTAAATCATCCCTTATAGTGCATCAGAGAATCCACACTGGGGAGAAACTGTTCATGTGCACAGAGTGTGGGAAGAGATTTGGCCTTAAATCCTCTCTTGTGAGACATCAAAGAATCCACTCTACCGAGTTTTTCAGGTGTACTGAATGTGGGAAAAGCTTCAGAGAATACGCAAAGTTTTTACAACACCAGGCTAGCCATACTGGAGAGTGGCCCTATACAGAACCTCATTTAACCGTCCATTAGTCCCATTACCTCTACCAAATTTTGAGTTGCATCAGAAAAAGTCTGTTGCGCTTCTTGCTTGAATAAACTATTCTGCCAAATCACCAGTGAGCTAATAACAATGGAATCATCCTGTATTCCCAAGAAGAGAGAGAAAGAAGGTAGTCCTTTAGTATACAAAATTGATATTAAATGTTCCTGGACATATCTAATGTTGTCTCATGTACGTGAATCAAATAAATTGCGGTGGAAAACTAGATTATTATATTATTTATAAAACTAATCTGCAAGGATGTTCCACGGCACTGTAGAATGGGTAAAAGGAAAACATACGTAATTGATGACACACTAATTCATGGCAGCCCTGTGCAGACAAGCTCACAGCCTAATCGTAGGATATTGTAGCAGGTCGTCAGGATATGGCATTTATTGGCATGTCCTACAAGGTAGAACACCTGCTTTTGAAGACATTTGTGGTATGTATTTTAAATGCTATACCTAGATGAATGTCAAGTCAAAAATCTTTCAGACTACAGCATTGTGTTCTAGAGTAGTAGTTCCCAACAAAGTTCATAAAGAATGCAGGTTTTGTCAGTATCCACAATGGAACAGAACTGGGAAATGTCTAAACCCTGGACTATTGGTGCGACATGAGGAATGGGATTAAAACCAATTATTTAGAGATCCACAAGTGATCAAAATGTTAGTTTGCTCCAAATTATACGTTTATTTCATCAGGGAATCCATTAAATGCATGTAATATGTTTGGGTTACTGACTTCATTTCTTCATGTATAAAAACATATTGGCACAGTTTTTATGACTGGTCTGTAAAGTATTCCAGCAGTAATTTTTATACTTCAATTAGGATGATTTTTATTTTATTTGTAACACTCCCAGTCAGTTATTTGGCAGGGGACATGGGAACCAATACATTATATGTGACATATGTCTAAAACCAAGAATGGATAAATGGTAGATTATCTGTTGTTGTCAAATTATGACATACGACTGGCAAACTTATTGTAGAAGATTTAGTTCTGTAAGACTTGAAGATTTGCCTTTTAGCCATCCCTGGTTTAACCCTGTTTGGAACACATTTCAAGTGTTTTTTTGTTTTTTTTGTTTTCTGACACATTAAATCTTCAGGTGTGCCCCAGAGTATAGAATTCATTAATATTTGGACAGTCCTGTTCTTCGAATTAAGAAATCATGGAAATCTCAACCTACAGTCTTTGAATGTATAGCTCTGACACCTCTTGATGTGAGTAAAGCATAATCATGGAATATATTGTTCCTTGTGACCAAAGCAATAGCTCCCCATTCAGAAAACTATGAGAAAGGTAAATATTTTTCTCACTCACTTTTGTGTCATTGGTACTCCTGTCCAAGGCTTCTTGATTGAAGTCTCAGTCTGTAATGGAAGTTCAAGGGCAGAGCTGGACTGTAGACTTTAGGGTTAAACTGCTTGTTAACTGTTTCACACCTAAAGATAAGCCGGTGCCAGGGAACCTCATTCATAACAATTTAATTCTGATATAGTTGGTATGGTGCTATGATTGTTCCTTTTAAATTGCAAGATTAAATTAAAAAAAAATTCCCAGCCATACTTCCTGCACCAGCCCAGAGTGAGCATTTGCACTCTGAGTTGGTGAAATAGTCCAATCAAATACTTCTCTGATGACTGGACCATGCGCTGGAGGCATTATGACAGGAGGGGGAGGGGGCTAATTAGCAATGGCCATTAGGGCATGCAAAATCAAAAAATGTGTGCACCTAAAAGAGTTGGAGAAACCCTTTAACCTTAAAATATCTATATCTCATAAAAAATTATAGGCTCTTATCTCTTTTATATTGTGCACAAAACCAATCTATTCTTGGCATTATGCATACATATTGCGAGTCATGTCTCCATTTTTATTTTCTTTAGTTAATCATAAGGCAGCTGTGATGTCAGACATTTTTAATTATATTAATTTTAATGAAAATAGAACCTTATGTATATAGCACAAGTAATAATTGATTATTATTTTGATGCATATCTCTAGTAATATGGTATCTAATGTACTACTAAGTAGGCAGTTACATACAATATCTAATAACGACTCATTAAGAAATTTTTTATATAACGTTGCAAATTACCAATAAGGCCTGCTGTGAAAAGATGCATTTACGATTTACTTGTCTCTTTCAACATAATACTTTTAATACATTTTAAAAAGACACCCCCAAAGGCTAAGCAGGGCATCACGATTTGCATGGAAATATATCTCATAGCCTTCTGTTATGCTAAAATCAACCATCACCGTACTGGGGTAAGTTTAAATAAAAATCCACTGGCCTAAAACCTTATTTCTAGCATGCTTTCACCCACAGCATCTTTTTTTTTTTTTTTACAGAGTGTATTCAGGGGAATTCTTGTTGCTTATGGAATTCAGTAAAATTCCATATCTGTATCATTTTTCAAAAAGCTGTAACCTTAACAGGAATGAACAAGAATAGCATTAACTGTGCCGTTCTGTAGGTGCATATTTGTTGTTTTCCTTATTATTAATACAGTTCAAGATTTCATGGGATTATTCTCCCACTCAGGCAAAGAAGATAATATGCTGCAGGTTTTATCATTAATGGGCCATCCCCAGGCCTTGAAGAACCGAACCAAGTTTATATTTACAGCCTGAGAGAACTTCACTGCCCAAAGGTTCATCTTCTCCGTTTTATCATTACTGAGACCAGACATAGTCTGGTACTCAGCAAATAAACGTTTAAAGGGATCCCAGCCGAAGCCTTCTTGTAGCTGAAAAATAAAAACATACGTTATTTATAGCAGATATATATATATTTTTAAATTATCCACGTAAATATCAGACTTGCAATACTGGACCTGCAACATCAAGATCATGCTTTGCTAACATGCTTTACAGCCGCCCCCCCAAAAAAAATTATATATATATATTTACCTGTGATTAAGCACCAGGCCCAAGTTCTCTCTACAGCCAAATCCTCTTCCAGTGACTTTAATCCTCTTTGCAGGTGGAGGAATATCCCAGAGGACAGGCTGAGACTGAGGTGTACCGCTATTGGCTGTCTGTTGCTAGCATGATAGACATGCTAAAGACAGATGCCAAATATCCACAGATTTAACATTAGCCAGCCCAGAACTCTCATTCCAGGCTGGCTGAAGATGCTGCTTGAGGTGGATCTTCAGTATCAAACTGCTATTTCTTCAAGCACCATGACCACTTCAAAGCAAGTGTTCATGGTGTTTGGTGTAACCCTTTAAAAACACAATATATACCACCAGATCTGTATTCATCTCACAGGACCTAAGTATTCCAATTTTGTCCTCTCTTGAATGTGTGTGAGTACAACACTGATGTGACTCATAACACCTGAAACTGCCAGTAACTGATGACTAGGGCCAAGAAAAATATGACAGAGTTAAGGAGAGAAAGGTACATTTGCCTCTCCCCAGTGTGCCACCATGAAGGCAGACATGTCAAAAATTCAAAGAACCTAAACAATGACAGTTACACTTTACGAAAAGGCCAACCACCCTTGGGCAATGAAAAGGATATATCAACAGTGAGCGAGCACCAGAAAAAGTGAAATGGGTTTAGAGCAAAGTTTCAGTTTATGTTCTTGTACCGTGTACCTGCCCAGTGTTGTGTGCGTGTGTTTATCTGTAATTTTATGTCGGGTGGGGTGGAGGCACAATTTTGTCATTGGCCCCAATCAGCACAATACCTTGTATCAGCCCTGTGCTACAATCATGTTTTTCCTACACAAAAAAGGAAATGTGCAGAGCTTACAAACCCAGTGGCTGCCAAAATTCTTATTCATTTACGTCACCAAAGATTGTTAATTCACATTACCTCTATAATTGGAAGGTATACCGGTTGTTTTACTGCTGCACAAAATAAAGTCTCTCACTCTACTGGGAGCTGACTCATTCAAAAAGTATTACAAATAGCATTTAAACATTGATTTATTATTCTTGTAAATGCTACGCAAATATCAATTACTGATTGATTATAACCTACTTTTAGAAAGATAATATGTTTCCCATGCTTGCATTGTGATTGGCTTGTAATGTCTACTATTATTTGTTTATAACATTCTTAATTGACCTGTAAGAGCAGCAGTACCTTTGCTTCAATCACATAATGTAAACAAACTATGTTACCTGCAAATATGTTTCCAGTGCAGTCCACACACTCCACTGCCCCAGGTTGGCTCCATTTTTCAAATATGTTTTTATTCGGTCTTCCCTGGATTGTGGCTTGAGAGCAGTATGCGCTTTATCTCGTGGAATTCCCAGGACTGTTTCATGAACATACACAGACCACAGGTTACATGTGGCCTCTGTGGTATGTGGTGGGAACTCCCAACACCCTCTCTGTTGATTATGTCCGAGCTCATGTATAGGCCCCCAAAGGCCAGAGTTCTTCATATGCTGAATATTTGTAAGTTCTTTGGCTGATTCCAAATGACACATGATTGGGTAACCTGAATGCATCCATCCTGTAAGAAAAAAAGTGCTTTAACCTCCAAAAAATACCTTTCCATGTGGTGCAAACAGACAAATATATATTTTTTTTAAATTCACTCTAACCCTGTGCATCTGGAATTCTGACTAAAAGTATTTGGAAAGTTACAAAATGTTTTATTTTTTACACCATGCTAGATATAGATAACTATGAAAAAGTACTGACAGTCAAGTTTAATTTGGGAATATTTGAATTCATAAGTTAAGCCAAGCACGAATTAAAAAAATGTACACAAAGTTCCTCTAATATTTAAGGAACCTATTTAGTGACAAGCCATTATGACATTTTCATACCTCCCAACATACAGGCATGTGGAATTGGAATGGGGTGGTTGGAACCCTGAGATGACATTGACAATGTCAAAGTCTGTATCACTAGTGATAACCATAAAAGGGATGGGCCTCTTCAGTGAAGCCAGCCTTGCCAGGCCCCCAGTCTTCAGATCCATACAGGGAGCACTACTTGTCTAATGATTTACATGTGCTGAGCTGCCGTGGGACAATTCCTGCATCCTGGGATACGAGAGAACTAAAGTGAGACTGATAGGAGGCCTGCATTGTATCATTAGCTCTTCAAAAAGTTTACTTGAAACTAAACGGGCAGACTGCTGTTTGTGGGTTATCAACAAGGTTTGCTCGACTGGGGCACTGGTAGTTTGTTGCAGAGTCTGCAGTAGCTGCTCTAATATTTTGCTGTTTTTATTTAGCCATAAAATAAATATTAAACATTGTGTATGTAACCTTTATTGATGTGCCCATGTTTTGGGTGTTATTAGTTCACTATCAATAGCTCTACATTAGACTCTATGTGCAGTATTTGCATTTACTTTTGTCTCTTAATGTGACTAGTAAAGGATTGTTGAAGCCTTTAATTTAAGGTATGCAGAATAAATAACGGTTCAGGCATAACAAAAATAACAAAAATAGAAGCTTTATTAGGGCAAAAACAGCAACGTTTCGACCCTACCGGGTCTTTACCGGTATTTAATATAAGGTAGGCCAATATGTCCTAGAAGATTTTTGTACATCCAATACAAAACATTATTTGTCACCAATTAACAAGTACATTGTTAATAAACATGAACACATGAGTGACATAAGCTACACACAAAAATGGTATATTATACCTCCCAACTTCCGGTATCAGTTAAAGTCCCCCAAGGCTCGGTTTTTGGGCTGCTTTTGTGCTTTATTTACACTTCTTTATTGGTAACCTTACTAGCTCCTTTGGATTTCAGTACCATCTATCTGCTGACAACAGATTTACATGTCCTACCATAGTCATTCTGCTGCCCTTTTTCATTAACTGACACTTTTCTCATTCTAAATGGTTGTCTTCCCATTTTCTCAAACTCAGTCTGATTAAAACTGAATTTCTCAGTTTCCTCTCCAAAATATTCTACCTCAATCTATCTCCCTGCACAAACTTATTATTTCCTGCCTTGACTATTGAAACTCACGTTTCATCTTCCTTTCAATTACTGACATTGCTCCATTTCAAACTGAAATGAATGTCGCCACCAGGTTTATTTCCCTGACTCATCAATATGTATGCTTTCCTAGTCCTTACATTGTTTTCCCATACCGTTCAGGATCCAATTCAAACTACTGACTATCTTACAAAGCTCCCAACAATATCACTCCTTATTACATTTCCACTTTAATTAACAAATATACCTTTCTCGTTCCCATTGCTCTGTAATTTACCTTTTGTCCTTTGTTTATTCCCATTTTGCCAATTTTCATCTATAGGATTTCTCAAGGTCCACGCCCTTCCTGCAGAATGTCCTGCATGACCCTATCACTTTCTCCAGGCTACCAGTCCTTTAAGTAGTTACTGAAAACCCAACTCTTTAGGAAAGCTTACCATTTTCTTGGGTGACTTTTTTGGGTAATTAACCGTCCCATTTCTCCACACTTCATATGTGATTCCATAGTCCATCTACTCTTTGTCTTGCCACTCTACAGTTTCTCCCCATACTACTTTCACAAGCTCAATTAGACAAACATCATATCTATCATCCTCCTTTCCATTCTATATAGATATTTCATTGAAAAGAGTAATCACAAAATCAACATTCTTAAAATTGTAAGAAATAACAGGATAAATATACTAACAAAATATAATGTTAATGCAAGGTTATCTCAAGATGACAAAGACTCGATTAAGTTCAATTCGCTTTACCTACCAGCTGATATCTGCACATCTGCTACTATCCTTTCGGGCCGATTGAATTTTTTAGGAGTCGATGCAAGCCCAGCTATCGCTTCCATAAATTGGTCCCATTGATGAAGAAGGGCTTCTGGGTCATCTAGTGAACGTATTGAGCTTGAAGGCAATGTCAGTATGATGTTCTCTGTAACTAACTCAGCCCATGGAGCTGGCAGGTTACGGATATATTGCACCCAGGCTTGGACACCGGTGTGGCCTAGGGGAAAAGATAAATAATGTTTAGAATAATAAAACCATCAACAATCCAGGAGAAGGCAGTTTAAATATAATGAAGGAAACCTCTAGTAATGTGTCCAAAATGTAAATTAATCAGAAGAGACTAGAATTAAAGGCAGATTCCTTACCAAAGGCAACATACCCGAACCATATTATCAAAGATGAATAAAATAGGTATATAGTTCAATCCATGACAAAGGACCAATTAATTCTCTACAGAATTAAGATGCCACGTGGAACAAAGCTGATTTACCTAAAAGAGATATATGGCTCTTTATTCATCCTCTGTGGTGAATTTGTTTTTCCACGCATAAAATCAAAAGATTAAAAGAAAGATAGTACAACCCAATTACAAATTAGGAGATTACATTACTTTAAATGCATTTAGCAGTAATATACACATGGAAAAACACGTAAACTATAAAGACTACACCAACAACGTGGAACTTACGAGACATAAATAGCAATTATAAGGATCACAGACTGACGTGTGTTAAGATAATTATTTAAGCCATTGTCAGTTAAATTTAAAGTATTATGAAGCATGAGGATGATCAGCATTAAGAAATATCCACGAGTTTGCACAAAAGGAATTGCACTTTCCATAGCAATAAAAGTACAGCTTCCTTTACAAACCTTTTACATAGGTTGGTGCTAAATCTGCCCCGTATACAGTAACTGATATCATTCCCAACTGGCACTTTGCTGGCACAATGATGTATAGAAGTCCACCCCAAACACAAGATATCAGAATCCTCTCATCGGGCACACAGGTTCGTTTCACAACCACCGGAGCACGACACAATTTGTCTGCAGAGCCGAGGTTATCCGTGTGACAACCAACCTGCACCTGTAACATGAAAAATAGGCTAGTTAATAGATCAAGGGTCCACATACCAGTCTTTGCATACACCCAACTATGCAGTCCTGTCAGACATGGCTTAAGAGCCCACAGGGCCCAAGGAATGTTATAAATTCTCCTTGCCTTCTACCATCCCACCTACGATATGGATCTTGAATTGAACCAACAACAAGCCCAAGCGAGGTTTAAAGGGACACTATAGTCAGTCTGGGTGCAGTGTGAGCTACAAATTTATTTTCCCACATTAAAAAAAAGTTTTGTTTTTTTATCAGGAACACCCAGGTACAGTACAGCCTATCATGAAGGTGCACTAAAATCTATTTTTAAATATGAATAGAAATGTTCCAATATATATTTTATATAATTACCTCAAGTCCTTTCCCCACGGCACATGCTGGAAAGTGGAGTGCTGCTGTTTTTCCAGGATTTATATAAAGTCCAGTGCTCCTCCATGCAGCTCCACCTGGAATGGAAGGTATAAATTACACGTAGGTGACATTTCAATAAAAAGTCTTATCATTCTGGGCATCAAGGGTTGCCTATTTCTAGGCCAGTAGACAACTCAAATGGTAACTTTGTTTTCCTGGTACTATAGTTTCCCTTTAACCCAGTTCTAGAGTCATATCTACAGTTTGGATACTGAGAAATGGAATGGGAACCACTGTTCTGTGTATTCATTTGAACAACTGGTCTCAGGATTATTATAATTTAGTAGATATACCCCAAATGAAAACATGCATGCATGTAATTATGTATATTTTTAATGGGATTATATCTAAAACCAGTTTGCAAAAGCTGCAGATGTCTTGGTATAAAAAATTAAGAGTATAAAAATTAAAGATATAAATCAATTAAAATATTCTCTCTTTTAGAAAAGTGCATGTTTCATATTTTTTTTAACGGAGCAATTCCAAAAACAGAAATGATCCGCATTAGTTACATAGACATGTATCTGGTATAGCACAAACCCAACATTTATTACATTTTATACACTCTCCCTATCTCCTGCTAAGGCAAATCATAGATTGCACTACCTGTGGTCAGGTTTAGTTCCTTTTATTTTTTTAACCAGAAAAGTGTGGTTATTTTTTATGACAACTTACATGCCACTTGCATTTCTGTGCAAGTGGCTAATCTAAAACAGGTCCTAAATTTGTGATTGAACGTTCGTGCCAGCCAGCCAATAAAAGTAATGACAAGGTTTTAAATCTATCTGTAAGTAGCAGCTGTTCCTAAATACTAGCAAATAGCAGCTTGTGACTACTACCGTGTTTCTCCGAAAATAAGACCGGGTCTTATATTAATTTTAGTCACAAAAAACACACTAGGGCTTATTTTCAGGGTAGGGCTTATTTATTTACGGTACCGGTATGTACATTGAACAATATTTAAACAACTTTTCTCCACCCCCTTTAATAAATCCACCCCCCTTTAATTAATCCACCCCCCCTTTAATTAATCCACCCCCCTTTAATTAATTCACCCCCTCTAATTAATCCAGCCCACCCTTTAATTAATTCACCCCCTCTAATTAATCCAGCCCACCCTTTAATTAATTCACCCCCTTTAATTAATTCACCCCCCTCTAATTAATCCAGCCCACCCTTTAATTAATTCACCACCCCTTTAATTAAATTAATCCAGCCACCCTTTAATTAATTCACCACCCCTTTAATTAATTCACCCCCTCTAATTAACCAGCCCACCCTTTAATTAATTCACCCCCTTTAAGTAATTCACCCCCCTCTAATTAATCCAGCCCACCCTTTAATTAATTCACCCCCTCTAATTAATTCACCACCCCTTTAATTAATTCACCACCCCTTTAATTAATTCACCCCCTCTAATTAACCAGCCCACCCTTTAATTAATTCACCACCCCTTTAATTAATTCACCCCCCTCTAATTAACCAGCCCACCCTTTAATTAATTCACCCCCCCTTTAATTCACCCCCCCCACCCCCTTTAATTAATTCAATTAATCCCAGACATAAAATATACTCACATTTCAAGGATTCCACTGGGAGCCTCACCGCCCGGAAATGGATCCTTCCGCTGAAGATCCGTGAAGGCAGACTGACGGCGCTGCAAAATGTCGTCATCACGTTGCGCGACGCTCCTCCTACAGCAGAAGAAGGAAGTCTCGCCGCAAAGGTACAATGCCTAGGTCTTATTTTCGGGGTAGGGCTTATATTGCAGCCCACCCCGAAAATCCGACTAGGGCTTATTTTCGGGGTAGGGTTTATTTTCGGGGAAACACGGTATTTACCGTCATTAATGGAAACAAGTCTATAGCTTCTTGTCTGAGTAAGTGTACAGACAATAGACAAAAATATGGACACACATTGGTGCATACATTACCTGTATTTGTTCCATCAATTGTTACAGTGATTGGGGGGTTGTACTGAAAAGGAAAATTTTCCCATTTCTGGCTTTCTGCTAGGCCCATGCAGCCGACATCTTGGGCCAAACAAAGCATTAAAGCCTCTTTAGAATTGCCTTTTACAGGGCACTGTTTGCTAACATTGGGGAGTGCACATCCTTGCACAAGGCATGCAAACTTTTGCTGTAACGAAGAAACGAGTGGGGAAGGTGGCAGCTTCATGAAACTGGACGTATCTTGCCTGAGCTTCTGCAACCAACCATTCACAGGAGGTTGTATCTCCACCTTGTTCTGTAGGTCTCTCTGCAGCTGGCAGAATGCCCTTGGGAAGTGATAGAAGCTTCCAGGTGCCTGAGAATCTATTGCATTGTAGATGCCTTGGGTTACAGTCTTCTCCAGTATGCTAATGCCAAACCTGTTCAGGATTTTGTTTCCTGGGTAATCAGAAAGCACATTTTGGTGTGACTTTCCATAAGACCAATACCAAGCATGACCAGCAATCAAGAGTCCTCCTCCCTCTGCCACAAACTCGTGGATTTTTTGTGCCTCATGGTCACTGTAGGAATTGCAACAATATACACTCAGACCTGGGATCAGATCTGCTACCTTATAAGTAATATTTTCTTTTTGTAGGAGTTTTGCAAACTTATCCAGGTTTTTTTTAACTCCAATCATTCCCTTTTTGCCCATATCCAGCCATGATATGGCATTAAGGATGAATGTTTTGAGTTCTGGCTTAGCTAGGTAGCCTTCATGAGTTCCCACAACAATACGCCCTTTCCCATAATTTGCAGCAGCCATAAAGCATTGATTGCTATCAGTTAAACCAATCGGAAATGTCAATGCTCCATGAAGCAGTAGCTCTGAGGGTACAGCTTGCCCACTGATGTCCAAATGGGAGACATCTCGGAGAAGATGATTTAAATCCTGTGAGAAGTTCACACTGTGTGAGACAGGACATAGAAAGTGATTTATGACAGATTATAAGTCATTCTACTCTGTTCATTCTCTACCTAAAATGCAATAGTTAGTCTTTCACATATATAAAGTATATTACATGCCTCCCAACCATCTCGATTTCCAGGTCCTGTCCCACCTTTGCTTCCTGGTACTGACCTGCCATTAGCTCTAGCTCATAATTGTGTCACTGGTCTGCACCCTTTACCTCCCTCCCACCAGCATCCCGCTTCTCAGGACGCCAGAGTTGGGTGGTATGATATTACATGATCTGCCCTTTATTTAAATAGACAGATCATAAAGGTGGGGGAAGGGGAGACTGGTTCAGGCTGGACTTAGCAGTGGGCTCCTGAAAAACCCTGGGTCTGATCTTGGAACCCATTCATTGTTAGCCCCAAGTCCCTTGTAATATTGAGAGAAAATACCTCCAATTACATCATTTGTGACGATGGCACTTTAATGCAACATATTTTGAGTTAATTATCCAGCACAGTGCAGGTATTACTATGAGAGCAGGATTTTGATGCAGTGAATGCATGTTCAATGCTCCAAGTTTGGAGGTGTGCCAAGGGCTGTATAAACAAAGTGAGTTACCTCCTAAATTGCAGGGCATTGAGAAGTGATACGTCAGGGGTATGATCTATACACCAAAACTGCTTCATTAAGCTAAAGTTGTTTTGGGGACTATACCAAACTGGTGACTTTAACTCATAAATTAAATAGTCTAACAGGCAGCTCTATATGAAACCTTTTTCCAGTATGATTTGCTACTGAGTTTTTGATAATTATGATACACATGAAGGATAACTGACTCCTGGCTAAAAAAAACTGGTAGAACGGAAATTAATAGTTTTAGCAACAAAAAAAAAAAACTTTTGCTTTGCTACATGAAAATAATATATATATTTTTTTTTTTAGAAATTGTTTTTTTGTAAATACAATTGTAGTAGCAGCCCCCCTGTAGATTCTCATTGTTTATATTTAACTAGTTAAATAACTCAGTTGTTTAATTTACCTGTTGCAGAACTTGCTCAAACCTCAGGGGTGCCAGTTTACTACCAGATAATGTTGACTAATTTTTTCGTCTTTCTCTGGTTGATAAAATTAGTACCATTGAGTTGGGTAACAGTAACATAAATATTTCCATATTTCAAAGCCATATAATTCTAAATGTTTCCTCCCTTTTAAAATAGTTTGGTGTTGCTATCATATATTACTGCTTAAAAAGACACTATGGGCACCCTGGATGCTTCATCTTAATGAAGGGCTGAAAAGCAGGTAATGGTCACATTATTTTAAACCCTCAATAGGTCAGAGGACACTGTGATGTTTTCGAAATACATGTTTGTATTCGATAGTTATAGCGTTCCTTTAAGCTGTAAATTACAAAATATAGGTGTGCTAAGTTTCAAAATAGACATGCGTAACATATTCCTCAAAATTAGAGAAATCTCAATGTATCCATCCTGGTAAAATATTTTATAAATAAATAAAACTACTCACTCCGTGTAAATTGGAATCCAGGGTATATTTTTGCGGATGTAACATTTTCCTTTTTCTGCAGCTTTGTCAGTAAAGTAAATTCCAGACGCTGATATTATCTTGTTTCCAGGAAAATTATGCAAAACATCTTCATTTTGGTGTCTAGTAGCCCAATTCCAGGCCTGAGCTCCAATCAATAGACCACCACCCTCCCGTAGAAAAGTTACGATTTCTTTGGCCTGTTTATCTTCATAGCCATCAATACACAAAACCCCCAGACCTTGCTCCAAGCCACATGTTGACTGAACTTTGAATCCAGATGCAGCAAGGATCTTGGCCAGAGGGTCCAAACCTTTTTTCAACCCAATTACTGCCCCTGGGGAGGGATTCAGCCAGGTTATTGCATTCTGCAGGAAGCCCATGAGTTGATAGTTTGTTAAATAGGACTCATGGGCAACAACCACCACTCGACCCTTTCCATATCGGGAAGCTGCAATGAGCACATCTTTTCCTTGAGTAATCACCACAGGGAATGCACAGTCACCAGTTAGTAGAAGTTTGCAGGAGTTTATATCTTCTGAGAAGTCAAGCTCAGAAAGGCCTCTGACCAATGACTGGTAGTCTTCATTTGATGTCATTTTCTATCACTGTGAAACAAAAAAAATCAATTGATTAGTCACCAATGGATAATTATTTATCCACCCATTATCTTATGGAAAATCTCAATGACACTTTACATCTTGTAACATTTGTGAGCTCTTAAAAAAATAAAAAAAAAAGTACACAGTGCCATGTAAATACATGTAGCGTTGTTGGAAGTATTTAATGCATAATACATGTTACAGGCACATGATAATCTATATGGCCATGTTTTAAACTTGGGAAGGGAACAAAAAACACTTTTGAACATATTACTCATTGTCTTATAGATGCCACCCCTTATCCATTGTACAGCAATCTATATCTGGTTGCATTGCAAAGTTATTATCTTACTATTGGAATACTTCATGGAGATAACCCTGCATAGGGATTACAAGAGGTTTACCAGAGGTTTGACTCCATAAACCCAGGTATGTTGAGTTTATGTAGTTAGAATTGAATTTGAATAAATGTTTAGGTCAAGTCGCTATCCTGCACCCTGTCATTATTACACTTCATATACACAATAATTATATAATTTGGGGGTCAAAGTTTTGTAATTTCCCTCATTCCTATAAAAACCAATGGGCCAAGATAACTTTTTTTTAAGAGGGTACCAATAATTGTTTTCTTCTAGTAAGATAGGGATTATCTCTCTATCTCTCTCTGCAGCTCCATCAGCCCCTATGTTAATCCGGCCCTGGGAACAGGGACAACACCAGATGAAAGAGAGCAGTTTAGGATGTGTGTTAATGATGGTACAAGACAAGGGGAGAGAGATCTCATAAGGTGGGAAAGTACTTGATCAATCGGACAGGTTTTGGGATGAGAGGAGAAGCAAAGCCACCTCCTGTTCTGTAGCTGGGGAGAAGGCTTGTAGAGTAGTGGAGGTAAGTCCATGTGTGGTTGCGAGAGGGAGGAGCAAAGGGGAGAGAATTATTTCCTTAACTGTTCAATCTTGTCAGTAAAGTAGCATGCAAGGCTATCTGCTAAAAGGTCAGTTTGAGGAGTGGCTTGAGGTGGGTGAACGAGAGAATTGAAGGTATTAAAGAGACGCCTGGGATTGCATGACCATGAACTAACAAGAGAAGAAAAGTAGGATTGTTTAGCAAGGGTGAGGGCTGTGCTATATGTACACAAAACAAGATTCCAAGACTAGATAGGCCAATATTTGACCAGGCTGGATTGACTACAAGAAAGCCTACAACACAATGCCACACACGTGGATACTGCAATGCTTGGTCAACTAGAAACTAGAGCCTTCCTCAAGAACTCATTAGGCAAGTGGAGGTAATTATGCAAGTAAATATCAAATGTTGGATATAACAAGGTGATGTGCTATCCCTGATGCTGTTCTGTATAGGCCTCAACCCATATTGTCATGAAGAGTGGATACGGATGCAGGTTCATAGTAAAGCTTCCATCACCCACCTCCTCTACGTGGCTGACATCAAGCTATATGCCAAGACTGAGCAGGACAACGATTCACTGATCCACCTAACTAGGATTTACAGCAATGACATAGGAATGTCATATGAACTAGATATGACATTATGGATGCGTGGATGAAAGCAAAAAGTTGGAAAATGAAGGAGTTGTATTGCCAGAAAGCAAAACAAGAGGCACAGAGAACATATGAGTACATGGGGATCCCACAAACACATGGCAACTATGAGGAAGAGGAAAGGAGGACAGCAATATTCAAGTACTTCCAGAGAGTCAGACAGATCCTGAGTATGCAGCTCAATAGCAAGAACAAGATCCATGCCATCAACACATACACCCTACCAGCCATCAGATGCCTGGCTGGTATAATTACCTGGCCAAGAGTATGCTAAATCCAAATGGGAGGAGCCACATTAGGTAGTTGAGAATGACAGAGCTAAGAATTTGTGGAACTTCTAGATTCAGACTGACAAGAAGGTTCTGGCTAACCAACCCGTCATTGTGGTGGTAGACAAGAAATGGAAAACTGAAGAAGGAACATGAGAAGGTGGACAAGCTGGAGAAAGAGGAGCTAGAAGGAATGTGAAGGCAGAAGTAGACCCAGTTGTGATAGGAGTACTCGGGCTGTAGCCCCCAAGTTGGAACAGTGGCCTCAGCAGGTCCAGGTGGGACATCTGAGATTTCTAACCAGAAGATTGCAGTTCTAGGAACAGCTAATAAACTGCACAGAAGCTTCAGACTCCCAGGCCTCTGGTAGAGGACCTGAAAATGAGCAATATGTACATAGAATAAATGCCACTAAAATTATATATAATTTATGTGAATGCTGACAACATTAAAATGTGACTGAAATGTAACTAAAACGATGTCCAATAAATCCAGAATTGTGAAATATTGACAAAGGATCTGAAAATTGTAGGCTTATCAAGCCATATTGCAAAAGCTTCTATGTTTTATCTCATTTTTTTAACCTAATATTTGTGATTTTTTTTTTTTTGCCAGTTCTCCACAATTTGTAATTTAGCGAATAAGTCCTTTTGTTTACAAGCCAATAATCAACTATGCATTATCATTTATATACACGAATTAAGGAAATATTACACATAATGCAACTTTTGTTTTTTTGCGCATTTAGGACCATTAACGCTATACACAACCTATGACACAATATCAACTTAGCAGTAGCAGATGACTGATCATCCCCCATTACCAATCTATAATGTGCATAAAGTGTTAGACTGACAGTGCCATGGCAATTGTCTACACCAGGAGATATTGTCTAACCAGCTGTTTACCAGTAGTTAAGACTCGAGAGTAACATAGAGGCTCTGTACTATGTCCTGAATTGTGTTAAAGGAATGCTAATACTTTAATGACAATGACAATAGAGTCCCTTAGCTATAATATCAAAATTTAGGACAGACTGAGCGATTGAATTGTTATCAATGTTGTCTGTAAGTTTTTTTCTACAAACTTCTAAGAGCAACAATTGCTGCCGCTAATGTTAGAAACGACTAAACTACAAAACTCTGTTAGCAATTTGTAATTCCGGGCTGACATTTTTAATGGTCTTTCCTGTCGTAAATGCTCAGTTTTTCTGAAATTGGGAATCCCCTATTTTGAGATAAAAAGCTGAGGTGGGGAAATAGGTAAGCAAGAGAATTTCCAGTTCTGTTTCAGTTTGTTTGCCTTACCAATGCTCCGTAGATCACCATTTAGTGAATAAACCCCTGAATCACTAAACACAGTCAACGTCAAATACAAAATTATACTGCAGTGTAACCCGAAGCACCAAAGCTCTAGCTGACGTTTTACAAATCAGGTATTTTTGCCTAAATTTAACTAGGATGCAGTTCACTGCAGTTCATTGTTCTCAAGTTCTCACATAATCTGTCTGAACACTATGCTTGTTTCACATATAGAAACGTGGTAACAAAGTTTCACACGCTGATACTGGAAGGGTAAGTATAGATCTGGAATACATACGTGTGTTGCTGTATGTCACTGGAGTGCAGGAGAGCAAAAGGATCCACCGTGACACTGATGACACACAGTCTAATAGCTTTATTTAATGAAGGGGTGTGGTGGTGTCAGCACACACTGTTCTAGTGTCATGCAGGAGAGGAAGGTTCTGGAGGAGGTACATGGGAGGACCAGGGGAGGGTTAAATGAAATAGGGAAATCCTAGGACTGTGTACACGAAGGCTTCATTAGAAAACACAGGGAAGGGAATGGAATTATCAGACTGTAAAGTACAGGGTAGACATGTGAAGGAAATAGGGAGAGGAAACAAAAAAGTATCTCTATAAGTACTTACTGAATAACACAGTTTGGGTTTATTCACAAAACTGTGAAAACAGAAGCTTCTATCCTACCCCAGAAATGTATATATATATATATATATATATATATACACACACACACACACACACACACACACACACACAATTATATCCAAAACACACTGAATCCACTATACAAACACACTGTATTCACTACAAACACACACGCTACATCCACTTTACACACACAGACTGCATTCCACTTTATGCACACACACACACTGCATCCACTACACACATATTCCATCCATTACACACTCACTGCATCCACACCACACAAACACTTCATCCATTACACACACCTTGCATCCACTGCACGCCTTCTCCATCCACTACACACACAGCATCAACTATGCACACTGCATCCACTTTACACATACACACACACACTACATCCACTACACATCTTGTATCCAATACACACGATCCATGGGACCCCGTTGCAAAAATTGATCCGTGGGTCCCCACAGCGCTTACTCTGCACGGGCCGGGGCCGCAACACATGGCGGCGGGCACCTGGTCGCAGGGCTGCGACCCCTGCGACCACGGTATGTACGCCAGTGCATGCAGATACACTAACACTTAAAGGACCACTATTGGCACTCAAAAAAAAGCAATGAAATAAATTGTGACCAATATTAAAGGAATATACCAAGCAATCTCTCAGAGAAATCAGAACAGCCTGCACTGCTGTCAGTTTTCTCAGGGCGGGAGAATTGACATGTCAGTTTGTTGAATATAAAACTTGTATGGCTCATTAATTGCCAATGAATAAAATTGACAAAATTGGTATCCAGATTCTCTTGTTTGAGAAGACTGGAGGCAGCGCAGGACCCTGGTGGGATCCAAGTAAGTGTCCAATCGTGTTCTGAGAGAGTTTGACATCTTACTCTGGGAGAATACTGGGACACACCTTGCTCCAAAACCACTACACTGAGCTGTATTTTTTGTGGTGCTTAACCCCTTAAGGACACATGACATGTGTGACAAGTTATGATTCCCTTTTATTCCAGAAGTTTGGTCCTTAAGGGGTTAAAGGACCACTACAGACACCCAGACCACTTCAGCTCAATGAAGTGGTCTGGGTGCCAGGTCCCTGACGTTTTAACCCTCAGTAAAACATAGCAGTTTCTCTGGAACTGCTATGTTTTTAGCTGCAGGGTTAAAACTAGAGGGACCTGGCACCCAGACCACTTTATTGAGCTGAAGTGATCTGAGTGCCTATAGTGGTCCTTTAAGTGTTAGTGTATCTGCATGCACTGGCGTACATACCGGGTAGAGAATAGAATAAAAGTTATACTTTTTTTTTTTTTAATAAAAAAGAGAAGAAGAAAATACTTACTGCCCACAAAAGCCCATATCCTACCTCAGAAATGTATACGCACACACTGCATGCACTACACTCTCAAACTGCATCCACTACACACATACTCCATCCATTACACACACTATTATCCACTACACACACACACACCATGCATCCACTACACATACTAGACATCCACTACACACACTGCATCCATTACACACACATCTTACATCCACTACAAAAATACTCCAACCACTACACATACACTGTACCTGCTTAGCACACACTGCACCCAATATGCATCCACTACACACACCGCATCCACTAGACAATCCTTTCAATCTGCATCCACTGTACACATACATACACATTTTGTATCCATTATGCATGCATGCATACTGTGTCTACTATATACACATAAACACACTGCATTCATTTTATTAAACCTCGTAAGTGGGGACTCGGGGGTGGTTGGACTTGGGTGTGAGCCTTGAGCTGTGGAAGAGGCCCCAACATTTTTAATGGCAGCCCTGCAATCAGCTGTATTCCCACATATCAGGAGGGCACTGACAGTGCTCCTCCTCACTATAATTAGGGTGAGAGGGTAGGTAGGGTTTTATTTTATTGGGGCATAACTAGGGGCTTGTGGACCCCTAGTCACTTGGGGGTTATTTTTACAGTTTAGCCCCTAACTGTTGCTAATAGGTGGGGGCTGGGGGATGACAATAGGTCCCCCCCTTTAGTCAAATAGGGGGCTGGGGAGGGGGCATGCTTACCACTGATTGCTCTTTTAGTAGACATGCCCCTACTTGCTGCATGGAAAGTAGGGGCAGGAGGGAGACTTTAACGTCCCTTTTGCTAATATGGGGGTCATAATGACCCCCAATAGTTAGAGGGAGGTATGGCAGGGTTAGGAAGTGGTGGGGAGCACAGCTGTCTGCAGATTGTATTTTAACTTATTACAAAGAGGGAGCTGTGAGTTGGTTGCTCCCTCCTTGTAATAAACTAAACAAATGAACAAAGACTGAATTGAAATTCCTTTCTGAATTTTGGACAATAGCAAATGCCCAAATGTACAACTGGGCATACGCAAAATTTTACAGCACTATCTAGTGTGAGCAGATGACATGTCCCACAGTGCCTTCATTTGCCCACACTAAGATGGCAGCACCTTTGGACTAGGCAAGAAATAAAGCTTTAAAAAAAAAAATTAAATGGGCATTTGGGAGTGACTAGGGGGACAATAAAACTAGAGTCATGAGGGAGATTAAAAAAAAACCCAGAAAAACACAAATTGGATTCTATGCTCTCTAAACCCGTGCTAACTTGATCTGTACTTGAACCCTGTCCTGATCTGGAACCCACTGCAAAGCGGAGCAAGTGGGGCTGAACATATTGCTCAAATAGTGTGAGACAGCTTACTGGAGAAGTGATTATGAACCAGGCAAGATAGATGCACAAAAATCTAGATTTAATGTATTAGTCATTCTAATATATCACAATAATATGTAGTGCAATCACTTTTAGGACAAATCAACGCACTTAATTATACAGAATGCTGAATTTACAAAATTGGATTTGAGTGCAGAAGCTACAGTACTACATCCCTGTAACCAATGGCCATTTGCATTTTTAAATCTTTTTTCTACCCTAGGATTTAAACAAGTAATACAGGCAAATTTAATCTTTACACTCCCTTTAGTGGTTGTGCATGTGATAGACATCAATGCATCTGTAACATGGTTAATATAAAGATTTTTAGATTTGGTTTTATTAAAGATATATTATTATATTAGAAAGCATCAATGTAATGTTTAATTCCAAATAAAGGTCACGCTTGAACCACAAAGACAATGGTGCATACTTGTTTCTGTGTTAGTTCTTTTAAGATGACTCATTATATGAATCATACAAAACATGTGGTTATTAACCTAGGGACTGGATCCTTATATACTTCTACGAATTGGAAGCTTTTTTTTTTTTTTTTAAGATACCTGGTTGACAGTCCCAAACTGTTGTCCGAGAACAATGTTAATTACTGATGGTCAGAACTTCCATTTGAGGATAAGGGCATGGGCATTGAGGAAACTGGCCTTGGGGCAGCAGAAAGAGTTAAAGGACCACTCTAGGCACCCAGACCACTTCAGCTTAATGAAGTGGTCTGGGTGCCAGGTCCAGCTAGGGTTAATCCATTTTTTAATAAACATAGCAGTTTCAGAGAAACTGCTATGTTTATCAATGGGTTAAGCCTTCCCCTATTTCCTCTAGTGGCTGTCTCATTGACAGCCACTAGAGGCGCTTGCGTGCTTCTCACTGTGATTTTCATAGTGAGAGCACGCCAGCGTCCATAGGAAAGCATTGAGAATGCTTTCCTATGCGACCGGCTGAATGCACGCGCAACTCTTGCCTCGCGTGCGCATTCAGCCGACGGGGAGGCACGGAGGAGGATCGGAGGAGGAGAGCTCCCCACCCAGCGCTGGAAAAAAGGTAAGTTTTACCCCTTTTCCCCTTTCCAGAGCCGGGCGGGAGGGGGACCCTGAGGGTGGGGGCACCCTCAGGGCACTATAGTGCCAGGAAAACGGGTATGTTTTCCTGGCACTATAGTGGTCCTTTAATCTATCCCTGCTCAACCTATGCCTTGACCATTTTCAATGTAGAATACAAAAAGAAAAATGGCAAGTACACATGAATAGGTGAAAAAGCACTCCAAAATGGCTGAGGTCCCAACAGCAAGCTGAACAACGTTTCAACCTAACAATTGGTCTTTTCAGTCTGTTTGCACATGAGCAGAAATAACGTCAAAAACACTTCCCACGAACTGATAACATTGTGCAAGTGATCCCATTAAACTTGTTAAGCAGGGCTGGGCAAAAATTAGTTCAGCTCATTCACATTGTCTTGCAAAGTATGTCTCCGATTTTTTACACTGATATATGATTTTGAATTATTAATACCCATATGTGAACTCATAGAATTGATATTTTCTGTATTACATGTGCATGAAAATTTTGCTTACAAAAATTTCATAAATACCACCAACTAGCGTGTGAGCCAAATGTAAGAGTACAAGAAACAGCATATATAGTCTTTATGCAAAAAAAAATCCTATAAAAGTTTAATCATTTTGTTCTAAGACTCTCTCGACAATAAACAAAACCTGGAAGGTACCTGGTTTCAAAACTGTAACTCTATACATTCCACAGACAGACAGATATGAAGCATGCTTCTTTTTCCGAGAACCTGTCCATCCAGAAATGTAATTACTACTGCATATTTATAATGTTATTGTCTGTTTTGGAGTGGTATTTTTCTGTATGCAAATATATTCCTGTTCTGCCTCTTTAAAGGAATTTGGAGAATATTTGGGTATTTTGACCTAACATCCCTGGTAAGTGTTGTTAAATTTGTTTGTTATATAGGAGGGACAGTTCCTATTTTGGCACCAAATCCCTCTGTCCCTTTTTTCTATCCCAATGTCCCTCTTTTTCCAGGAGCTCCATAATGTTGGTGTGTCTGAGTGTATAACAGCACTCCACAGCAATAATACTCACATTAACATACCTCCCAACATACTGGCTCTCCAACTTGAGATGAGTAGGATGAGTTTTGAGGGGACATCACCAGTGACATGAGCCACATCACTAGCAACACCTGCAATGGTCAGGGCTGCCTGAAAAAGGAGGGATCTCACCTGAAAAGGAGGCTGTCTGTCCCCAAAAAAGAGGCAGGCTTTAAACTGACAAACCAGCCCCCAACAATTCAGGACCATGCAGGGGATGATGCGCTCACGCTGTGCTGCATTGGAACATTTATTTTGTGTCCTCAGATGTGGGACACGAGTTAACTAAAGTGGGACAGCACCCTAAAATCGGAACTGTCCTGCCCAAAACTGGAAAGTTAGGAGGCGTACTGTAATGTGTCTTTAACCTTTCCGACGTTAGAGCGCGCTGTACCATTCTACAAAAGGAGGGCTTTACTGCTGTCAGGGTGGCATAACACTTCCTAATGATCAGGCCCCTTCATACAGCCCCAATCGTGACTTGTCTGACAACCCAGGTGACACTGCAATTACTTGACTAAGATCGGCTTGATTGACAAGATAAAATATATAAATACACTTAGAATTAAAATATATATATGTATATAAAATGAAAAAAAGCCTTGCACGCCTACTTACAGTTATGTGACCCGGTGCTCGATTGCACTAAATGTATGAAAGAAAAAAATCAGAACTCCCTGGTAGCTTTCTTAGGAACTTGTTTTACTAAAAAGTGTAACAGTCAACGTTTCAGTTGACTGTAAGGGACTTTCATCAGGACAACCACGATATGTATATAGTTTAAGATCCAGACAGACAAGACAGTGCTGGCCAACCAACCCGACATTGTGGTGGTAGACAAGAAACGGAAGACTGCTGCCATGGTGGATGTGGCAATACCCAGTAACTATAACATCAGGAAGAAGGATCATAAGAAGGCGGAGAAATACCAAGGACTGAAAGAAGAGCAAGAAAGGATGTGAAAAGTGAAGTTAGTGGTAGGCCTAGTTGTGATAGGAGCACTCTGGGCCGTGACTCCCAAGTTAGGGGAGTGACTTCAACAGATTCCAGGTAGAACATCTGAGATCGCTGTCCAGAAGAGTGCAGTTCTAGGAACAGCTAAGATAGTGTGCCGAACTCTCAAACTCTCAGGCGGGGTGAGAAAATCTATATTTTTATCTCAAAGCACACTTAAAATATATATGTATATTTTTAAGTGTATGATGATATATATTATAAATAATTTTAAAAAATGTATTTTCTCAAC